GGGAGAGGGAGAGGGAGAGGGAGAGGGGCAGCTATGATCATGTATAGAGCTGCTTTCCGAGCCACCAGCTGACCGATACCGGGGTCGATTGTGTAAAGACGGGTGTATCACGTGAGCTACGTACGCATGTTTGGCAGGTCGGCGACTTTTTGTACCTCCGCGCGGCTGCCTTGGACGAGGAGGAGGAGGAGGAGGAGAGCGACAGCGAGGACAAGGAGCAGGATACGGGATCAGACAGCTGCTCCGGAACAGACGATCCGAATTCGGATTCCGAGGACAACGACTCGGATTCAGAGGATAATGACGAGGAGGAGGAGGGCGGCAGCAGCAGCAGCGAAGGCGAGGATGATGATGACGATGATGATGGCGGCGAGGGAGTGGACGAGGACGTTCGCGATGCGGCTCGGCGGAACCCGCGCCGCGCGGCTGCTGATGCGACTGCAGCGCGGGGACGAAAGCGAGCTAGCAAGGGCAAGGAGAAGCAGAAGCAGCGTGCGAAGGCGAGGGAGACGAAAAACGCGAAGCAAAAGCAAGGGATGAAGACGAACAGGTCCAACAACAACGGAAACACTAGCACCAATCAGATCGCAGCAGCAGCAGCAGCAGGGGCAGCACCGCCACGTCGGAAGCGGGCAACCACACACAAGGTCAGTCTGTATGTGCGTCCGTACCTTTGTACGGCAACATGTAAGGCCACCGCAGAGCCGAGGCGGCATTGCCATGCATGTCCCTTGAGTTTCCACTTGTGGCGATACCGCATGTGGCATGATAGAGGATGGAGGATAGATAGCAGCTACAAACACCCAGGATTTTTTGCATATACATACACATATATTACAACGTATAATACAATACAGTGATATAGATGTATAGATGTATGTATATTGGTGTATATAATTACCAATATACATTATATATAACGGTCCTCAGATCGTGCAACAAAAGGAGTTGCACGCGGTCAGAGGATTATGTAATTCGGTCGGAGGGGGAGTCCATCCATCCTCAACAACCTCTCAAACCATTCAACCATTCTTCCTTGAGTCGAAGGATGATGCACCTGCACCTGCACCGTCACCTGCACCTGCACCTGCACCCCGCTCCTGCACCCCACCCCAAATAATGCACCACACCATAACCACACCCTAACACCCCCTCCCTCCCCACCCGGCCCCTTTATCTGGATCACAACTCCTGTTTTCCTAATCCCCAATAATACACACACATATACGCATCGCCTCATCCCCCACAGGGCAGCAACAACGGTCTTCGGGCCTTTGCGGTGGCTATGCTGTGGTCAGTGGAGGTGGAGGTGGAGGTGAAGGTAACCAACAAGGGGAACAACAAGAACAACCCCAGGACAGCAGGGGACGCGGCTGGGGCCGGTGTCAAGGGCAAGAAGGAGGCGATGGCGTCGGCCGCGGAGGCGGTTGCTCCGTTCACTATTCAGGTGTCGGGGATAGGGGGTGTTGGTAGTGGGTGGCTGTTAGGGGCAAAAGGAGGAAGTTAAGATTTTGGAGAAAACATTGGAGGATGCTACTCTGCTACCCTCACACATACACACACACACGTTTACATACCTCTCATCGGGATTTTGGAGTGACAGAATGCCTAGGCCGTGTTGTCCTCCTCCTGACAGCATCCACCAGTAAATTTGCCCCCACTTCTGCATCCATATGTCTGTCTGTCTTCGGATTCCCAGTGGTGCAGTGCAGTGCAGTGCAGTGTACGGCAGTCCGTTGTGGCCCCCGACCTATGGCCCCCACCTACCACCCTACTGCCGGGGTATTGGAGTCTCTCTCGTTGGGGCTCTTCTCGCTGGAATACCTAGTAGTAGTACTACCATTATGTATTTGCAGAGTACTTATTCGGCCTTTCCGTTGGGTTTCCTTGACATGTTATTTGTGTATGTGTGGACGGTGTTTAAGGGGGGGCTGCGATGTCTACCCTGTCTGCGACACGTCGGCAGATCAGCTCTCTCCTCGCATCACCCATACCATTCTCCTTCCTTCGTAATGTTTTCCCTGCTAGCAGCACTATATTATTACATTGTTGCATCAACTCGTCGTACTAAACTGCCGTACCATGGTCGTATGTACCGCAGGTCCGCCGCTTTTACCGGCCTGAGGACGTGTCCCCGGATGTGGCTTACCGAGCTGGCTGGTGGGACCTCTACATGCCGCCGCTGTCGGAGGGAACGGAGGAGACCGGAGCGATGCTAGAGCTGTCCGTGGAGGAGGTATACGGCAAATGTGACGTCGTTTTGGGCCAGCCACGACCGAAGAGTAGGTACCTGCGAGTGTCTGTGTGTGTGTTTGGTGCGTCCGTGCTTTGTGTGTATGTGCGAGAAGAGGATATCGCTTATGTCGTGTGTGTCTGCTGCACACTGCTTGTTACATGTGATTATACATCGAGGAGGAAAGGGAAGTTGATGAGCACTCTCCCCCCGTCGCTCCACACCTCCAACCCCGCCCACCAACCCCTATGATGACCTCCCGCCCTCATGTACTTTAGTGGCTAAACCAGTAGGTAGGTAAGGCAGTGGGCAGGGAGGTAGGGAGGTAGGGTTTCCCCTGCTGCCTTGCCGCTACCAGGAGAGCCATCCGCATGTATCCGACACATCACACATGCACGGCTGGAGGTAAAGGAAGAAGGAAAGGAGAAGGAAGGCATAGCTACGTGTCAGCAAACACACTAACCACAGGCCACCCCCACCACCCCCGCGTTGCTACATTACTTTCCCAACGCAGATCCTGTTCTGGATACGTTCCAAGTGGTTGGGTCGTACGACCCTCGCCAGCCCGGCGCCACACCCGGGCCCCCGCCAGCCCGTCTCCCGACACCGCCACTGCCAGCACCGCGCCAGCAGCAGTACGGCATTGGCGCCAAGGTCAATGGTGGCAGGGCGCGGGAGGAGGATGGAAGGGGGGACGGGGAGGAGGACGTAGAGGCGGCAGTTCACGAAGATGGCGGCGAGGGTATTCAGTTGGACACGCTGGACATCTTTGCCGGGTGTGGCGGACTGAGCGAGGGTATGCACCAGGTGCGGGGCGAGGGGAGTGAAGGGGGGAAAGGGGGGAGGGGGAAAGAGGTGGGGCACACGCCGGGGAGCACAGGGGCATGGGCTTGACCGGGTTCGGCACCATGACGATGACCATGACAATGCAAAATGGCAATGACAATGACAATGCAAAATGACAGTGTGATCTGGTCATCGCTATCTCGAAAGCATCCGTGCTGATGACGTCGTCCGCCGCCATCGCCATCGCATTCCTTTTGCTGACGCCATCCATCTACACCGTGCCGTACCTCCCAGGCCGGCGTGGCTCGTACTCGCTGGGCCATCGAGTACGACAGTGAGGCAGCCGAGGCATATAAGCTCAATAACCCGGATGCCAAGGTCTTTTGCAACAACTGCAACGTACTGCTGCGGGTGAGGTGGCGGATAACGGGATGGGGGAATGAGGGTGTGTGTTTCGGAGGAGTAATTGGGGGTGGGTGAATGAAAGTTGGGTTGGCTGGGTCTGTGGGTGGGTGCTTGCTCTTTCTTTTCCAGCGCATTAGCAGCCGGGTACTGGGAAATAAACGGGGGGGCGGGGGGGTGGGTGGGTGGGTGCCGCGGCTGTTGTCTCCCTTTGGGGCGGGAGCCACGGGCCTTAGTAGCGACATCCCAAATTATTCCTCCTTTCGCTTGCCTTCTTCACGCACGCGCACCACTCCTAGCCCTAAACCCCAAACCCGACTCTCAACGATATCCACGTCTTTCGATTGTGCTTACACCCCGCCCTTCTTCTTTTCTACCCTCCTTCCTCCTTTCTCCCGACATTCCCCCCCCCCAGCAACACTACTCCGCTACCACCACTATTCACCTGAAACATGGCGAGCGCCACATCTCCCCAATCACGACTCTCCCCACCTGGGGCCTTCCCCACCTGAATGAAACCCACAGGCCGCCATGCTCAAGGCCGGGTTTGAGGCGGATTGCCTGGCTGACCCCACGTGTGTGGAGGCGGCTGCCGGACTGGACGCCGCCACCCTGGGCGACCTGCCGACCCCTGGGTCGGTCGCCCTCATGATGGGCGGGCCGCCCTGCCAGGGCTACTCGGGCATGAACCGGTTCAACAAGGGGCTCTGGTCTCAAGTGCAGAACAGCATGGTGAGATTGGGAGAGGGGGTAATGGGGTGGTGGGAAGGGGAGAGGGGACTATTGGGGGTTGGGGAGGGTAGGTGGGTGGTCATGTAGGAGTTATGTAGAAGTTGTGGTGGTTTTATGACGTGGACGTCTGTATGTACGTCACGCAGCGATCCATCCCCACTCTCGGGTCCTGCCACCATGCCCACACACAACCCCGCACCGCATTTGTGCGAATCCTCAAACCCTGGCTGGTTGTCGATATCACAATGTGAACCATTCAGGTCATGGCGTATTTGTCGTACTGCGATTTCTACCGCCCGCGGTACTTTTTGCTGGAGAACGTGCGCAACTTTGCGGTGTACCGCGGTGGGGAGGTGTTTCGACTTGTCGTACGGACGCTGCTGGATCTCGGTTACCAGGTGAGGCTGAGAGGGGCTGGGACTGAGAGGGGCTTGATGCGGGTTCCCGGTCCACACGGCTGCGCTTTTGCCTTTCCTCAACTGCACGATTGCCGCGTCCGTATGTACGCGTACCATTTTGTACAAGCTCTAAAGCTCCCTTGTATCTTCCCTCCTTTTCCATCCTTTTAACTATCTCATGTAAGCCTTACGCACCCCCCCCCCACACACACACACGTACAACCCTCCATATTGCATGTAACCCCCCTACACACAACCCCACAACCCTCAACCCCTAAGCCCCAACCCCACCCCGTCCCTGTGCCGCCCTCCTCCGTACCTTCCTCTGCATGACGGGGGCCCCTAGGTGCTTCTTTCCCCTTCACTCTCTCAGTATCTGTCTACCCCTGCAGTTTCGACCCCTGGTATATCAGCTTCAAACGCCTGTGGTTCGTCTCTTATCCCCCTCCTTATCTCCTCCACCCCACCCCCTGATTTAAATCGCAGGTGCGGTTCGGTATTCTCAACGCTGGCCACTTCGGCGTCCCTCAGTCCCGCAAGCGCACCTTCATCTGGGCTGCCCTCCCTGGAGAAGTCCTACCCGAGTGGCCGACACCAAGACATGTCTTTGTGGCGACACAGCTGGGAGTGAGGATGGGTGGCAATGCGGCCGCTGCTGCAGGGGGCAGCTGCGGCGGACGGAAGGGAGGCAAGGGCGCAGACGGCGTGAAGAACGGCGGTAGAGGTGGAGGTGCAGGTGGAGGTGGAGGTGGGGATATCGCAGGGGGTTCTTTGGCGCCCCCGGGGGGTTTCTTCTTTGCTTCGGGGACGCCGCTGCCCGGAGCACCCCTGCGGACGGTGACGGTGCGGGACGCGATCGGAGACCTGCCGCCAATCGACAACGACGCCAAGACGTGAGTGGCACTGTAGCTCCTCCCGTAGCTAAAAGAAATGCTTTCCATTGTGCAGCGGGGGGGGGATTGATTGCGCAGCGGAGAACAGGAAAAAGGGGTTGGTTCGTTTTGGGCGCCCAGATGAGTGACGACTTCTATGAGTCACGATGCGTGCATTCATACACGATGATAGCTTCACGATGGCTGGGGAAATCCAAATCTTGTGACAAGGTTGCAAAAAAGGTGATGCACTGCTCGAACAGTACTGCACAGTATTTAGTAATAACGGCAGTAATGGCGGCGGCACCGTGTTGTCACGAAAGCATTGCCGCTCAGGAATGTTTGCATGCCGTTCCTTGGAGAGGAGGCAGAACAAAGAGTTATTTCTACTCGCTCCAACGATGCCCTCATGTTGTACGACAGGGACGTGTTGCCGTACACAGCCGTGCCAACGAGCGCCTTCCAGCGGGCTATTCGCGGCTCGGCGGGTTCTGAGCTCCGAGACCACATGGTAAAGCAAATGAACGAGCTCAACCTGGAGCGATGCAGGTGGGGGAATGAAAGGGGTGGAAAGGGGTGGCGGGACGGGAAGCGGGACGGGTGAAGAGGGAACGGCGCTGAGTTGTGGGGTTTTAGGGTTTTAGGGCAGCAAACCCCCGTTTCCCCCCCCCCCGGAGGGAGGTTCGTGTGTCTCTTGTCCCCTGAAGCTTCCTTCCATCCCTCCACTCGCCACTGCATATGCTCCACTTTCCCCCCAACCCCACACCCTGCACTGTCACACACGGACCCCCAGATGCGCACACTCAATGTATCACATCGTCCCCCTCTTTCTCCCACGCCCCGGGCCCCCCGCCGCCACCTTCACTCCCCCCTCCCTGTCCACCCAGATGTATACCCCGGGGGGTGCCGGGTGCCGACTGGCGTGTATTGCTCAAGATTGTGGCTGAGGACCCCTCCAGGGAATTCTTCAAGGTGCGTTTGTTTATTACAATGCAACAAAGAGGATGGCTGTGCGGTGGAAACCCAAATTGTATTATGCGGCAGGGAGCATCACTTGGGTCGAGATGTGAGTGTGTGAGTGTGCGAGTGTGCGAGTGTGTGAGTGTGTGAGTGTGTGAGTGTGTGAGTGTGAGTGTGTGTGTGAGTGTGTGAGTGTGAGTGTGCGTGTGCAGGGCTCGCCCTAGCCTTCCTCCAACCACCAACTGGCAACTCACGACGGCTATTTCCTCCTTTCATGCCCCCCGCATCTTCATCGTGCGTATGTATATAAATACCTAAACACACACACACGCACACACGCACGCATGCAGGGCGAGTCGCTGGTTCCTTTCTGTCTGCCTAACACGGCTGACAGGCACAACGGCTGGCGGGGGCTGTACGGCAGGTGCGTAATTGTTCCCCCCTGTGTAGCCGTGTACGACGCGGGCCTGACTGGGCGCTCTGTTTAGGTTGTGTCCTCTACCGCTACATGGAGAGAACAACTTGGGGCGGAGAAAAAGGACTCGTGCTGTACAACTTTTGGGTGTTGGGTGCCGTACACCTGCTCCGGGCTGTCCCGTGCAGGCTTCACCGCGTGCACCTGCCGCGACCCGCTGGCCGTAACACACTCATACACACATTTCACGTAGGGATACATTCCGACGTCTTCTACCTTCCTCTATTTCCTTCTATATATGCCTTCTAAGTTGGGGCCGGCGCGCCGCCGCACGCATGTCCCCCCCCTGTGTGTGGCCTTTGCATTGGCCCATGCATGTGCATATCCTCCGAACAACACTTGCAAACTCCCGCTGCTGCTGCTGCTGCTGCTGCTGCTCCTACGGCATCCTGTGCCTTTTCCCTTTGTTCTTCACATGTGCCCAGTCAACCTCATGCATTCACGGGAAGGGTTCGTTGTGCCCCCCCTCGGAGGGGGGGCTACCCTGTGCTTGTCGTCGCATCGCTCGGACTGTGGTAGCACGACCCCCTGCTTTGTCCACTAGCTAAGAAGGATAGGATAATAGGCTTTTAGGTCCTATCCAGTACAGCGCCTCTGCTTATTCCTACGGGCTCCCGACATCACTCACCCTTTCCAATCAAATGCACTTAATAAACCCGAGCAGCAGCTAGGTCGAGCTACAACAGCTTCATTGGAAAAATCTAACACATGTTTCCGGTGACTACATGAAGTACATGAAGTTTTATATCACTGTGTGCCACCACCATCAGCATTTCCCTCATCACCAACTCCGGTAAAAGATCATTAAACACACATGCATACACCTAGAGGGAGAACCCTTACGTGGACATCACCCTAGACTTCCCGCGGCCATACACACATCCTGTCTCCCCATACTACTTCCCCGTACAGGTTGGACCCCTACGGCCACTTCCCCACAGCCACCACTGAGCCCAACCCCATGGGCAAGGTGGGTCAGGTGTTCCACCCCGACCAGGACAGAATCGTGTCGGTGAGGGAGTGCGCCAGGAGCCAGGTGGGTGAGGGGGGGGGAGAGGGGGGTGAGGGGGTAAGAGGGGGTAAGCGGGGGGAGAGGGGGAAGACGAACCGCGGACGAGTGAAGCAGAGGGGGAGGGGGGGAAAGACGGGGGAAAAGGTGTATGTATTGGCACGGCTGTAGGGCGCGTGGGTGGGCCCGTGGCTGTAAATGGCTACGCTGGCTGGATGGTGTGGTTGTGGATTTTTTTTCTAATGCGCTAACGCGATGCTGGAGTTTTGGATATGAAATGGATAAACCAGCATTTTCCCTGCATTAGCTTTCACACTGCGATTTTCCGTTGCACGTGTCGCATTGTACCCAATAATACAACAATCGCGTGCAGATACGCCATGAACTCCCAACCCCCCAACCCCAACCCCAACCCCAACCCCAACCCGCCTGCAGGGTTTTCCTGACCACTTCCGATTCTACGGTAACGTGATCTGCCGCCATCGTCAGGTACGACCAGCCAGCCAGTCAGCATCACTGGAGATAACTAGTTAGCTAACTTAGGGTTGCGAACCGACCCGTCGACACGTTTGACGACAGTCCGAACACTGAGAGCTGCAAATGGAGCCATGGAAAAATGGCTGTCGCGAAATCTCCTTCGCTGCCTTTCCTCATTCTTTCTGGTTCCCTACTGCCACCCCCGGCCATGTGCCGAGGTGCCAGCTGTCGGCTGGATGCCGCCACTTACTTGCTCCCCCTCCTCCCCCTTCTCCCACCCTCCTCCCCCTTCTCCCACCCTCCTCCCCCTTCTCCCACCCTCTTCCCCCTTCTCCCACCCTCCTCCCCCTTCTCCCACCCTCCTCCCCCTCCTCTGTCCTCACTCTCGCCACCCCGTCAGGTGGGCAATGCGGTGCCGCCACCGCTCGCTCGGGCCCTCGGACAGCAGCTGCGTCTCGCCCTCAAGGTACGTTTATGGTGTACAGTGTACGGTGTTCTCATGTAAAACTGATGTACTATTGGTCCATCAATTACCGGCAGCCCACGGACTTGCTGCCCATGCAACTCTTATTCTGTACGTAAAACCAGCTACCTCTAACCGGGCCCAATCCATCCCTCCTCTTTCTGAATTTCCTTACGGTTTTGGCCACCTCTAACGCATGTTTGTGACCTTGTATGTATATCCGCATGTCTATATGTGTGTAGGAGGGCCGAGCTCGCGATACGAAGGAGGCCGCTGAGAAAATCCAATCGATGCGAGCCCGCCGGCAGCAGCAGCCACAGCAGCAGCCACAGCAGCAACACAAGCATAAGTAGAAGGTCAGCGGCAAGGAGCCGAGATAGACAGGAGGTGCCGGCAGGTGCCGGCTAAGAGCAGTTGTGATACACGTGATGACACACTATCTGCTACTGCTACTGCAACACTACTATTGCAAATAATATTCTCAAACCAATGAGCGGCGGACCAACCTATCCCTTACCTTATCCTTGCATCGTTTCCCATCCCCTTTAACGAGGCGCTACGAGTTGCTTAGTGATTCTGCTCATGACGATTTCCTGGTCGTAACAGTTGTCGTGAAAACATCTTTTAGTGGTCTAGCCCCACGGGGAGCCGCACACGCACATCTGCATTCCATGTGGCAGTGTCAAGGCGATCAGCAGTGAGCTCTTGTTGGCATGGCATGGCATGGCATGGCATGGCATGTGGTGATGAATAGGCTATCTGAGCTTTACACTGCTACGCTGTGACCAGGGAGGGCGATGTCGAACTGATAATTGAACTGATGACGGACTGATATTCGGACAGATCAGGGATAACAAACACGACAGGACATGGGTGGGTTAAGGGAAAACGGGAGTAGATGGATAGGGCCTGAGGGCGTCGGATCACCAGTGATCAGCCGAGTGACGTTACTGAAGGGCATTTATTGTGCGGGGACCTCCTCTCGCTTTGCCAGCGACCCAGCACGTGGAACTGGCAGATAGACATCGGCTGTTCGTTGTGTCGTGTCGTGTCGTGTTGCTTGACTGCTGAGCAATTTTACATGGTCTTGTGAGGGTGGCAGCTGCTGCTGGTGCTGCCGGTGGTGGTGGCGGGCAGATGGGGGTGTATGTTGACAACAGACCCCCCCCAACGTCTTGTGAGAGAGGGAGTAGCAGGGCTCTTGCATGGCGGTATGCGTCGGACTTGCTGCTTGCCAGTTGAATGGGGTGGTATGCTGCGTAGAGCTGTTTTTAGGCGCTGTATGCGTCTTAGGTGGCCCATGCGGGGAAGGCCTCTCGAGATGCGTTTTGGCGCGTATTTATGCTTGGTCGTGCATGCCGTACTGTACGACGGTGACTAATCTTGTGCAGGCTTGCGGAGGCGCGTCATGGTACGCGAGGGTTAGGAGGGGGCATGCCAGCCGCGTCTCCGAATGTCATGTCACTGTCACTGTCCGAATGTCAAGTCACTGACATACAAGTTTCCAACATCGATATCTGATCACTTTAAGCTTTTAACTGCTCATTCATCCTTCTTTGACTATAATACCATTTCTGGTTCCAGTGGACCATAAAGCGCCTGGCATGCCTGGGCCGTACGAGCTCAAGAAGCTTGCAATCATTGTCAAACGCCCCAATACCGAGACAACAAATCAGATATATTTAGTTGCCGCCCATAAATTGGCCCATCGAAGACCTGGCGGCCTGTGGTCCTGTGTTGAGTAGCTGTGTTCGACTGTTGCTGTTTCGGAGCGCGTTGGTTCCACAGGAAGTCGTCGGTAAGTGAGGTGACCTCACTGAGGTCTGAGCTGTCCCCTGCACACTGTGCTTTGAAAAGTACTATTATCATAACGCGTAATTTAATTGCGTCACAGCTAATCACTATCGAATTAACACACAGTCAACCAGCTATGAGATTGTTGCCACTGATAAGGGAAAATACATTAACGCTAAAGAAGCTAAAGTTTATCGGTCTTTTGTAGCAAGGTTGGCTGGTTTCCCTTGCCCAAGTTCGGCATGTCGTTGTGTCCGGCTAGCTGTAACATGTAAATCGAGGTTAGCATTTGTGTAGTTGAATAATAAAACCTTGTTATTTTCATCTGTCAAGGCACCTTATCGATCGCCGAGGGCCAGACTACAAAGTGTCCTGTTGGTGTCCAGCGGTGCACAGAGGACGGATCGCGGCAAGTTGACCAACACATACTGGCTTCCATCCCTTACAGCCCTTCCATTCTCTCAGCTGCCACACCTACCAGACACCAAAGCAGCGCCTCCATTGCTCTCCCTACCGGATCTGCACGGAGCCGCCCTCATCAACCCCCCCTTCCCATACGACACCACACACCATAATCGCGCACCATCCCCAGCCCCATTTCCCACCATCACAAAGACGCGCACATACACCTATCCCTATATATATACGCGCACACACGATGGCATCTCATGCGCCAGCTAATTTCCAAGCCGAAACCCCCAAGGCAACGGTACCCGCCGAATCGACCCCAACAGCCAACTGCAACTCAACGGCCAACCCAACCGAAACGGTAACAACATGTTTGGACCTGCTTGGATCGCCAACCGATGACCGTCAACACGACCTCACGGATATTCCCGCGGATGTCCTCGTCAACTTGTTCTGGAACCTTCCTCCAGGCCACCGTCTGGACCTTCGGGCAGTAAACCGGAAGTGGGCCAATTGGGTTGACCAAACCCTTGCCACCTACACACACCTCAACCTCGTGCTCGACGTTCCAGAAATACAGCGGGCGCTCCTGCAGCTGCAACGACGGCAGCAGCAGCAGCAGGAATATGGCGGCGGCGGCGACGCCACCGCCACAAACCAGGGCCTCTTCAAGGCCAAGTTTCCCGCTGCAGCAAATGTACGGCTATGGGTAGGCTGCCGACCGCCGGCGGCTGTTGCAGGACGCAACGGCGGTCCCTTCAGCGTCGCCGCTCCCGCCGCCGCTCCCGCCGTCGCCATCATGCCGTACTACCGAGCAGCCTGCGATGCTGTCACCGACGGACTGCTGTCCGCTTCTGCCTCTATCGTCACCTCTGCCCAGTGTGTGCTGGATCGACTAAAGGACGCTGCGTACGACGGCCTGGCGGCCGCTATACAGGCGCTTTTGCCTCGGCAGCCACGATGGCGCCTGCCGCGACCATCCTGGCGTCAGTCGCGACGGAGGCGGGCGAATACAAACGTAGCTGTTGCGGCGGTCCGATGGTTCGTTCATAGGGGCCCGCAGTCGGATCCAACAGCGGCGGCGGTGTTCCGGAGATACGCACCAGATCCACCCGATCCAAATCTCCAACCGCTGGTCTCGTGCCTGCCTTTGCTGGGCCCTTCCACCAGCCTCAGCAGGCTCAGTATCGTCACTGCGTACGACATCACAGAGGAGGTACGGCAAGTCATGCCTAATGAACGGCAAATCAGGACCCTAGTCCGTCCAGCGCAAGGCGAGGCGTGTGAAGTAACGGTGTAGGGTTAGGAGCTTATGGCGGGTTTGGCCACCTCCCTTTCCCCGCAACCACCCACCCACCGCACCCCCCCCCTGCCACCCACCCAACTTCCTCCCCATCAAACCCAAGTCGTAAGTGCGCATAACCCAACGCTACACCATCTGCACAGGATAGCCGCTGATTAATAAAAACGCCTCCTGTGCCGTCCCCTGTGCTGTCTCCCGGCGCTCATCCCGACCGGAACCCCCCTAGGATCTCCACCTTGTGCGCAAGTCCTTTCCTCGTCTGACAGCGTTGGCGTTACAATCCCACAAGGACGTCACCCTGGACTTCACACCCGTCGTGCTGACCTCCCTGGATTGCCTGCTCACCGACGAGTCACCGGGAGTGGCCCCCGTGGCGGCGGAGCCGGCCCTTCCGTCAATGCTGCCGTCATCGCTGCCGCCGCCACCGTCATTGCCGTTGAGGACCCTTGTCCTGAGCGGACTGCGCTGCGACTGGCAGCCGGGCGAGGGTGGTCTCGGAGCCCTAACCGGACTTCGTACACTTGTACTGCACAAAGTAGTGTGCCGTCTGCACCGACTTATGCCGCAAATTAAGGTCAGCGCGGGACCCCGGGGTCGCCTTCGTGGGGTTGCGCAAACACCCCCAACATATTGCAGCATATTTTGCACATAGCCGCCATCCAGTGTTCGTTTTTAGAGATTGCAATGAGTGCCGTTATCCGCACTTCACCGTATTATTTCCTCTCCTGGCCTGCAAAAGCAGAGAGAGCCCCCTATTGGCGCAAGTGAAGCGAAGTCTGGGCAGTTCTGGGCCCTAAGGAAATGAGAGGTCGGCAGACCTCCATCCGCTCCTCCGCTAGGGTCGAACATTTAATTGATGAACCTTCTTTGCAGATGCGGCCACGCGCCAGCCAACCCACCCCCAACAACGTGAGAGCTTCTCCCACCCCCACCCCACCCCATTCCTTATTATTACAGTAGTCAAAGTAGTAGGAGCAGGAGTAGGAGTAGGAGTAGTAGGAGGAGTGGGAGGAGTAGGAGGAGTGGGAGGAGTAGGAGGAGGAGGAGTGGGAGGAGTGGGAGGAGTGGGAGGAGTGGGAGGAGTGGGAGGAGTGGGAGGAGGAGGAGCAGTGGGAGGAGTGGGAACTACTACGACAAGCGCCGGACCGACCCGCTAGAGGGGGGTACCCCGAAGACATCATCGTTTGCGGATATTGGTCTACTGTGTGCTGTGTCTACTCGTGATTCCCTTTTTTGCTTTTCAAAAAGGGCCCTCCCAAACCCCGCTCTGCCGCCGCTGTTCGCTGTTCGCTGTTCACCGCTCGCTGATGTTGTCGGCGCCCGCGCCACGACGGGCCCCCCCGCGCCACCATCCGACCCCCGTACAGGCGCTGACTCAGCTTACGCGCTTGGAGCTGCGGGGCCTGGACTATCACCACTCACTTCCCCTGGACTCAACCGACGTGAAGCTCCTGGAGACCAAGAATGACTTCCTTGAAGAGGTGCGGCGGCGGCGGTGGCGACGGTGGCGTGATGGCGACGGCGGCGAGGAGCTGGGGCACGGCCGCGGCCGCGGCGGACGAGACATGGGGTTTTTGGAGGCGATGGAACAACAGCAACAACAACAGCAGCAGCAGCAGCAGCAGCAGCGACATCTACGGTCTGAGAGTAGCGAAGATGAGGACGAGTGGGAGGCGATGTACGGCAGTCCTGGATGGCGCGAAGCGGACTCGGCGGCGCCGTGGATGTGGTTGCCGCAACGGGGCGCCCGCGTTAGTTCTTTGCCCGCTCGCGCAAGGCCCAATTGGCAGCTTGCGATGCGGGCAGTGGGGCGGGCGGTTAGTGGCATGGCGGACTTGCGGGCGCTGGTTTGCGATGTGGAGTGCCCTGCGGGGCCGTTGGTGCACCCGGCGCGACCGACCATGGGGCTCTCCCCGGATCCCACTCCCCGGAGAAGCTTCAGTGGGCGGGGTGAGTGGGAGGGAGTGTACGGAGGGAAGCTGGCCAGAAGGGTAGTACACCTTTTCTCGCCCCGTCGTGTTGCTTATAGGAAAAACAGGTATTAAACATAATTAGGCGGGAGTTAAACAGGAATAAATCAGGAAAATAGACAGCTATCAATAGTAAGCTTAAATTGTTAACGACCAAAAAAGTACTACGGTACACCCGCACGCAAGGGCGATGATGATGATGATGATGATGATGACGATGTGCGGGGTGTGTAGCCAGCCAATGGGACCTCCGGTGCACCAGGGGCCGCTACAGGGGGGTCTCGGCGTGGCGGCGGGCGGGTGGGTGAGGGCGGTAGTAATGATCCCCAGGTTTGGCTTTTGCTTAGGACAACAAGAAATGTGCGCGCGTCGTTTCTTGACGGCGCCTCTGAAACCCGTCCCTTTTTTCAACCACCATATTCCCGATATCGATTTCGAAATCCCCTTTCCGTCCCATCCCAATCCCAATTGTGTTTAAAAAAAACTTGGTGGTGTCCCTTACAGATCCCTGGGCCTTACTATTAGATGGCGTTACCAAGCTCCGAAAACTAGAAGAGCTGTGGCTGCCGTACATGGTCCTGAACCGTCCCGCTCAGCTGGACGAGCTGGCGGCGGCGCTGACGGGACTGACGTCCTTGGAGCTCGCAGCGCTCCCGCCGCCGCCGCCGCCGCCGCCGAAGTCGCCAGAGCCGCCATCGTCACCCCCGATGTCAATCGAAGAACTGCTGGAGCGCCGCCGACGCATCGACAGCGCCAAGGCCGAAGTTTTGTGGAATCTCTACATCCCGTTGGGAGCTGTCGGCACCGCCGCTGCCGATGGGAATATGTGTCGTACGGGTGCCGTACAAACGCGACAGTTAGGGAGGCAGCAGGTACGGGCGCGTGGGTATCAGGGACGGGACCAACACCGGGGGCTCAACCCACCCGAGGAGTTGTACGACGACGGCGGTAACGGCGGCGACATGTACGGCGGCGGTGATGATGATGATGAGGCCAACGGCCGTGGCGGCGCAGGCGGCGGCATCAATATCGATGGCGGAGCTCGGGACGAGATGGGAAGTGGATCTGGACGCCGTTCCCCCGGTCTGAGCAGCTTCCGACAGCTCCGAGAGCTTGTACTGCACCGTTGCGGTGTACGGACGCTAGCGCACTGGCTACCGCTGCCTCCGCGGCTGCGGCGCTACGACGGGAGGGGAGGCTTGGTGAGGGTCTTGTACGGACAGGGTGCGCTAGACGACGGGCGTAGATACAGATTCATAGCTCTCCATGCAGTCTCTTCCCCTTTCTCCACCTCTTTCTACTTGTCCGCCTCACCGCCCCCGCCTTCCCCCCCTCCTCGTTCCCCAGGGGGGGGCGGGGGGAAAGACGGGGCCGGCCTGCCAAGGCGGTACATCCGTACAAGGCAGTACAAGCCTCCTTAACACGCGGTTTTCCCTCTTTAACGCAAAAGCAAAAGCAATTTATAGGCCCTGCCAGGGGCTTTCCTTGTTGGGGAGCAATTCAGGCTGGCGGGACACATCACATCACATCACCCGGAGAGGCAGTGCGGGGTGGTAGTAGCAGCCTTTCTTATTCCTTTTTCTCCCTCCCCCCCTACACACACACACACCGTCACCACCCCGTCGGTCCGCCAAGCTGTGTTTTAATGCCCGGGTTATCCTCCCGCCCGGGCCCCCCGTGTTGCCCCCGTCCAATTTTGTATGTTAGTCGACACTGTTGCTCGTCGAGGACCTGCAACTACTTCACAACCGCGTGCTGCCAGCACTCAGCCGAGTGTCGGATGTGGCCCTCGCGCTGAGCCAGGTCTGGAGCAACCTGGCTCGCAACCGTCAGCCTTCCGTCAACACCAGCCCGCGTGATAACCAGCAGGGTAACCACCGTCATTGCTGCCACCAGCACCACCGCCGCCAACACCGCCACGATAACAGTGGCAACAATGAGGGCGCAAACAACGACGTCGACAACAGGAACGAGAATATCAGGAATAACGAGGAACGTAATGACGATAATAACAATAATAATAACCGCAGCGGGGGAGCCGTCGCTGCCGCCACCACAGCCACGCGCTCCGAAAACACCGCTGCCAGCACCGACCAACACCATGGCGACGGCAGCGGCGACGGCAGCGGCAACGGCAGCGGCAGCGGCAGCGGCAGCGGCAGCGGCAGCGGCAGCGGCAGCGGCAGCGGCAGCGGCAGCGGCAGCGGCAGCGGCAGCGGCAGCGGCAGCGGCAGCGGCAACGGCAGCGGCAGCGATGCCGCCGCGCCTGGAACCAGCCGACCAGGAGAGGGCCGTCGCTCTGAAACCGATGTGCCGCTGCAAGCGCCGGTGGCGACGGTAACGGCAACGGCAACGGCAACGGCGACGGCAGCGGCAGTGATGACGGCGGAGGGGACCCCGGGGTCGTCCAGAGGCGAGGTTCTGTTGGCGGCGATGTTGGCTACCTGGCTTCCCAGCAGCGTAACCTCCCTGGATTTAACCTCCTGCCTGCATCCGCGCTTGATGAAGGAGGAGGAAGCGCTGGCTTGCTTGCGGTACGACTTGGTTTTAAAGCTTGTTGCGGATTTAGGATATTGGGGCTTCCTTTCCAGAAAAAACCGACACGCCTCTTACACCAACTTCCAACTTTCAACAACAACAACAACAAGAATAAAAATAACAACAACAATTCGATAATCGGGGTGTTCATGTGGTTCATGTGGACTATTTCCACCACAGGTATGTGAGTGGAGGCTTTCCCCGCTTGCGCCGCGTGAGTTGCTGCCTGTGGTCCGGGCGGGGGGGAGCTACCACCACCGGGGAGCTTTCAGAGCAGCTGCCGCTGCTGGCGTCGCGGTCGCCGTCACCACAGCAGTGCCCTTGTACGGCAGCGGAGTGTTTCAACGCAATGCCAAGTCTCGAGGAGTTGCGCGTAAAGGTGATTGGCGAAAGAAACTGAGCATGTGTGTTTCACGCCGGCCGGAGTACTTAACAGCGACACTGTTGCACACCGGAGTACTTAGTACGCAGCGTGACTGGGAACTGCGTGTCTGTTTGTATGTACGTATGCATCATGTGTGTTTCGTGGCAATCGCATCTGGGGATCTTTGCGGTTAAAGTACCGGCACATGTGTGTACGTATGTCGTTACAGGGTGGTTAACTTCGCCAGCGGCCCCCTTTCCCGGGGCAGTCCCTGCTCGCCCCTGCTAGAGGGGCACCCTAATCCGTCACCCCATCCGACTTCAGAATGTATTCGTTGGGTTCGGCAACTCACCACCAGCATCCAACCAAATCTAGCGGATCAACGGCGCCTCAACTTAGTTCCTCGTTGGCTCGCAAGTTAATTTTATCACGTCCTACATCGTCCATATGATGGGGGGCCACCTTCCTTTTCATCACTCCTCAAACACCCGAGGAGCCGGCAGGCGAATTTGAACCCGGGTCGGCCGGGAGCAGAAGTCAGGCCTTAATCAGCCGCCTGCCTTGTAATATCCTACCGATGGACTAGTGGCGCCGCCTACTGTGTATGCATGTCTGTATGTATATATTCTAGAGGACTGAGCCGTGAGTACGAATTGGCGAGGATTTATGACTATATGTCTGTCTGTCTGTCTGTCTATTGCGTGCATGGGTATAAGTGTATAAGTGTTCCTTGCGTACGTAATTAACCGCCAAAATAACCAACTCCAGAAACACGGCGGCTACTCCCCCCTCTCTGGCCCCCCTCTCCCCACCCTTCGGTGGGTCAGGTGTTCATGCCCGCTCGCCCCTTGCCGCCGGGGGCTACAGCGTACGACGATGCCTGGCGGTCGTACAAGAGTGTCCGAGTGCCGCTGAGTTTCCTCAGAGCGCTTTCTCGCGCATTGCGGGTCGTGGACTGCAATTCCCTAGTGAGTGGTTAGTTGGTGGTTGGGTCGGTTATTGGTTGGTGGTTGGGTGGACAGTCTATAGCTGTCTGGCTGAGTGTTACATACGTGTGCGTTTGGTGTTCCCCACCACCTGGCGCCCCCGGGGGGGGGGGCAAGGCGGCCAAGATGCCGCCAGCCTGCCCCGTCATGTCCGCGTGCCTCCTCTCTGCCTGACCGGCTGGCTGGCGGTGGGGGGGTTGAGGGTTGGGGGGAGATATCCTCCCTTGGCAGCTGCTGATGGCTCGGAGCACCCGCTGCTGCTGCCCACCCGCCCACCCGCCCACCCGCCCACCTCGAAGTAGTCCTTTAGGCAGTAAGGTAGTTGTAGGCAGCTAAGCAGAGCGAAGGGGGGTATGGACTCATCTGAAGACCAGGCCACACCAGACCAGGGCCGGACCGCCCTCCCCCCCCTCCCTCCCTCCAGGCCAGCAACTTTAGGCCACCTTTACGACAGCACTATTTTACTCGCCGCCTTCACTACTACTTTTCTACACCTACTTCTTTACGGATTGGCTTGACTATTCAGCTTTTTTAATTCTGGCGGCTTAGGTAGGTAGGATTTCCGACATCAACGTCACTTCGTCATCCCGAGGTCACAGTCGTCACAGTCGCCACGGACGCCTTTCGGTCAGTTTTTACGTTTGCTACTCTCTTGCCCTGGCAGCAGCTTCAATCGTGTGTGGTTCGTCTTTCCTCCCTCCCTCCTGCCGCTCCAGCCAGCAGCCGTGTGTGTATGAGTACAGGTGCCGTGATACCCTTGGGGCACCCCCTGACCACCCAGCTGACGGCGACTGCGGGCCAACGCCATCCAGCTCTCAGGTCGCCTAGCTACGTAATTGCCCAACACACACATACATACATACATGCATACAGACAGACAGACGGACACACCACGATGCTAGGGACGCCCATACAACCACCTGTTTCCCCCCCTCCCCCCCCAGGACGGCTGGTGCTCGCCAGACGGTGCCGTACACCCTCGCGATGCGTTACGCCAGGCGCGGGCCACCCTGGCAGCTGAAGGCTCCCGTACACTGCTGGTTTCGGAGGCCGAGGAATGGGCAGCGCGGGTCATGGGCCTGGCTCCAGGCCTGGAGGCGACGTGGCGACGGGGGACCGGGTACACCACCACGAACGGCTGCAGCTACTACGGCGACGGCATCGGGAGTGGCGTACGGCACTGATGGAAAAACTTCTGCTGCTGGGGGCGATTTTTTTGCGGTGAATTGGGAGCGCGGTGGCTGGATGGTGGGTACTACTACTCATCTTTGGGTCGTACTGCTACCTCATGGGGGAGCGGAGCGGTGTGGTGATATGGTGGTGTGTTCCTGTAGGGGCGTGTCCTGTTGTTCGGGTCCTGGTGCGAGGGAGGCAGCTGACGGACTGGAAAGACAGTCAGTCGGTTGGAGAAAAGAGGTGACACGGTAGGTTGGAGGCTGATGATATAGGGTTTGGGTTGGCTGGTGTGGCTATCTGTGGATATCTCATCTCGCCCGCGCGCGCTTGAGAAAGCCCTCACCCCCCCCGGCTGTAAGGGAGGCGCTTCGGAGCTTCTCAGGCAGTTTGAGGATAAAAAAGGTTTTAAGTGAACAATAAACATGCTGTAGGTAAGGCCCTGGTTTTTCGGTCAGTTTCGGTTGGTCGAAGTTGAGGACCAAACTAACCAGCGTCATGAGGACCGACCTCTGTGCGCTTCGAAGCAGACGGTGCTGATACCGGGTTGTCGCGCCAGGCCATCATCTGTCACCACAGGGGCTAAGGCTTGCGACTTGCACCGTAAAGTACGGCGGCGGTCCATCAGGGTTCGACAAATCAAGGGGGGGGAAGATCTACCCTGCGATAAACTGTCACATGGGCGAGGGGCTCCGGGCGCGAAGCGGCTTTCGGGGGGCCGAGGGGCCCCGGGATTCACTGCTGTCTGTCTGTGTCTGTCTGTGTCTGTCTGTGTCTGTCTGTGTCTGTCTGTCTGTCTGTCTGTCTGTCTGTCTGTCTGTCTGTCTGTCTGTCTGTCTGTCTGTCTGTCTGTCTGTCTGTCTGTCTGTCTGTCTGTCTGTCTGTCTGTCTGTCTGTCTGTCTGTCTGTCTGTCTGTCTGTCTGTCTGTCTGTCTGTCTGTCTGTCTGTCTGTCTGTGTCCGTCTGTCAAACAGTGTGGTGTCTCGTGATGAACTGGCATGCCACGCTTAACTGAGAATTGCATTTAAAGCTACCATTACAATTCTATATCGCTTCACCGAAGGATTAAATCTGGACATACATCTGTGTGCGAAGGTAGCTTCCCGCAGGCTATGGCTTTGCCCCCCCCCCCGCAGGCGCCCCTCTGCGTCCCGGACCTCAAGATGCATCCTCAGCTCACCATCGCGGATTCCACACCAACCGCCACAACCATCAGCAATAATGAAACATACACCGCTCAGCTCTGCCACACTCCGCAACTCCAGCCCATCCATGCCAACTGCTCCAGCAAGACTGCCCATGTATACATCTTTAGATTTGATTTAACATACGCTGTACAAGAGGTAAATTTTGAAAACTTGGACCAAGCTCTTAAAACGTTTTAGGATCCAATGTTCGTCCTGGCGAGCATACCTAACTTTGCCATTCATGGTCTGGTGTGCGACAGTGTATAATTTAAGTTGGAGATTCGCCCAAGCCCATCAATCGGCTTGACTGGCTTTAGCTCGTTAACCCTAGCTGACTCTTAGAGTTTCCTAGTGACGTGGCACCTGCGGGCAGGTCGCTATGCCAGTCAGCCACCACGGGTTACCTGCCCCATCCGGACATCGGCGGAAGAGCTGCGGAGAAAGCCAGCGACGGTGTTGTTATTATTCATGTCAGTGTCGATGTTCGAGTTTCGATGTTGATAACGTTCGAGGCAAGGTTCCAGGGGACTACGGCCAGCTACAGTTGCCACGGGCTTAAATTTACTTAAAGGTAGCGGTGCGGTGTGGCCGTGGTAGGAACCACGTACCCAGGAGCTGTCCAGCGGACTACATCAGCAGCGGTGACGAATTTGTCCTGGTTAGCTGTTCTGTGGCAAGTCAGAGGTTCAGCCAGGGTGCGGGTGGAAGGGAGGGTCCTGGCATATGAGGGCCCGAGCTGCAGGTAACTTGCCATGGAATAGGTGGGGCGCGCTCAGGGGAAAGGAACTGTAGGAAAGGGAGTGGGTAGTGAAAATGGGCATTTGTGGCAGAAGTCGTTGGCACGGCGATTACTTGGATGTCCCTATGCGAAGCGATGGGAACATCGCTATTGGGCGCTCCGAGACCTCGGTTGCTTGACGAGGCCTGGAATGCATCGCCAAGGCTCTTGCCATTACTTTTACCCTGTATGTTGTGTGCCATTAATTTTACCCTGGTGGTAAATACTTTGCTTCTTAAAATTTAAAGCGAAATCTTGATTCCGGTCGCGCTGGGCTACATCAAGAATGGCACCTCCTGATGCATATACACCTAGGCTAATAAACCAGCTTCAAGGATATACCTCTATCGTTGCTGGGCATGTGGAAGCAGCGCCAGGCGTCGCGTACATGGAGCTTGCACGTCCGCATCGCCACAACAGTTTCCATGAGGAGCTCTGGGACGAATTCCCAAGAGTAAATCTTGCACATATCACCGGAATTTGAACTTTGCTTCTTTTAACGCCAGTCCCTTCCCCTGCTGCCACCTGCCCGCCCAATATCTCAACACTATCCTGCCGCCCAATCTTCCCCACGTTCCCCACCGCTGCTGTCCTCACGCAGGCGCTTCAGCAACTGGACGCACATCAAGACACGCGAGTGGTGGGTTTCGGAGCACCTATATAAGGTTCAGAACCACATCCCACACATATCCCGCATCATCATCGTCTTAATATTTGCATCTTTGCATCACGTAATCCCGGTAATCTTCCTTCTCCTCCTCTCAAAACACTTCCTCTCCTCATATACGATATACGTCATACACCGCACGCAGATCGTGGTTGCAGCTCAGGGCAAGAACTTCTGCGCGGGCATCGATGTGGGTTACCTCCAGCGTAACTTCGCCGCCATGACGTCATCTTCTGCTCCTGCGACTGCTGCCACTAGTCCGGCAGTAGCTTCTACAGCTACGGCGGGGGAGTCTGCCGCCGCAGCAGCAGCCGCTACCTCGGGTAGAGCGGAACCCTGCCCGGGTGCCCAACGTGCCGCTATGCGACGAAACATTCTCTACCTTCAGGACGCGTACTCGGAACTGGAAAGGTGTCGTGCACCCGTAATTGCTGCCGTGCAAGGTGAGGGTGCGAGAATGGAAAAAGAGGATGAGGGGGTACGCGGGGGAGCCTCTTTAGGCAACACCAGTTGGGTGGACAAATCGACACGACAAACCACCGAGTCGTGCAAGAAAGTGTAAGAGAGGGAGGAGTAGGCTTCAGACACGACGGGAAACATTTAAAGGAGGCTGTTGGGGGCTGTCGACGGATGGAAAGAAAGGATTCATGCCCGATGCCGTACTGCCGTACCACCTTCAGTATAGGGGAAAAGCTTACATTCCAGAAGAGCTCTTTCTCCACCTTCGCTTTGGTCCGATACGGTTCCTCTCAGGCCGCTGTATCGGTGGTGGAGTGGATCTAATCACTGCGTGCGACATCCGTATTTGCAGCCAGGACGCCTCCTTCTGCGTCAAGGTGCGTCGTCATAATGTCGGCTTGTAAAGGGTCATCGGCTCCATTCTTCGCAGTAGTACGGCAACAAGCAGATGTCAATGCGGGGCCGCACCGGAATGGGCAACTGAACAGCTCTATGTTGACCCGTACTTCGTCGTATATGCGCCATGTCGTACAGGAGGTGGATCTTGCAATCGCAGCGGATCTGGGGACCCTGCAACGCCTGCCGCATGTAGTTGGCCATGGTACGTTCGTACAGTGGTTGCCAGCGTGTATGCATGTATGTATGTACCGTGGTATGTAGTTGGTTGTCGAAAGGCAACATTTGTTTCTTTGGGTGTATGTCGATATGTGTGCGCGTGTATGTATGTAATTGCTTTCCAGGGATTTATTGCGTTTCTGTTTGCCTCAACCTCGTGTTTCAGGATATGATATGGTTAAGCAGAATGGGCCATAGAGGAGCAATGAGGCAACAAAGAAGAGCGAAAATGAACACCTTTTGATACGCCACCACCAAACCTGTACGACACTCTGCAGGTGTCGCCATCGACCTGGCTCTCACAGCGCGAACTGTGGACGCGGCGGAGGCGCGGCACATCGGCCTTGTCAGCACTGTCGTACCATTCACAGCCGACGTCGCCGCTAGCACCGGTAACGACAGCCCTGGCCGCGTCGCGGTGGTTGCGGCGGCGTTGCAGCTGGCTAGGGTGATCGCTTCCAAGCCCCAACTTGCCGTACAGGGAACCAAGCGAGTGCTGCTTCACGCCAGGTGGGTAAATGCCGGTAGCGCGTGTTGCTTGTTTAGGAAATATACGTCAGGGGATACGATTTAGGAAAGCAGGTCGCGCCGTGGGCACCCTTACTAGCTGCGAGCGAGGGCGCTCCAGCATTCCAGTTCGCCATCGCCATATGGTGACGATACCCCTCCTGGGGGGGTTGGGAACGAGAGTTGACGACGGGCTTCCTCCTGGCCCAATCGTTCGCATGCAGTGCCGTACCGTACGATATTCGCTTTCCAGCTTTTGCCTCTGACATCTCCACTGTATGCACTCCGTCAGGGTATATATGTATGTTGTTACAGGGTGGTTAACTTCGCCAGCGGCCCCCTTTCCCGGGGCAGTCCCTGCTCTCCCCTGCTAGAGGGGCACCCTAATCCGTCACCCCATCCGACTTCAGAATGTATTCGTTGAGTTCGGCAACTCACCACCAGCATCCAACCAAATCTAGCGGATCAACGGCGCATCAACTTAGTTCCTGGTCAGCTCGCAAGTTGATATATGTATGTATGTATGTATGTCATTACGAGTTGCCACGCCTGGTATCTGTTTTCCTTCCTAGGTGTCTCTTCCTCCGCATGTCTGTCTCCCTGTCTGTCTGTCACTCTGTCTGTTTGCCGATCTGTCCGTGTTTGTCCGTGCCCACGGCCGCAGGGACCAGCCGCGTGTCGCTGACGGTCTGGACTACGTGGCCACGTGGAACAGCGCCCAGCTCATCACACACGACCTCACGACCAGAATACTACTGGGAGGGACAGGTGGAGGTGGAGGGGCAGGGGGAGGGGCCGGTCGAAGCAGGGAAGGTTCCGGTGGTAGACCTTCCATGCAGCAGCGGTTGGAATCGGTTGTCCCGCGCTCGCGACTTTGATGCGCTGATGACAATTAGCTGTATGATCCGTTAGGGGTGCTGTTAGTACGGTACCTTGTGGCTTTGGAACGGTCGGTGTTGGGGGTCGATCATGGCCAAGTGCTTTGGAGGTGGAGGAGGGTCTACCCTGTTTGTTTATGGGGGGAGAGTGGAGTAAAGGATTTGTTTAGATGTTATATTAAGTACGATGATGCAATTCACTATCTGGATCCAACTATGTGTACCAACCTATAATGACATCAACTTTGTCTCTCCAGCAACACGGGAGGGAGTCCTTCCTTATTGGCACCTTTGGGTTGCCGCCTAGAACTATAAGCTTGCATAAAACCCTAAAACCCTAAAACCTCAAAGCGGCTTTAGTGTTAACAATAACAGCAGTAAAACATTGTACACACGGGTGGTAAAATGCCGCACAGGACTTTTCAAGACGGGAACTGCATGTGCACTATGAGTCCGCGGAATCTTAACTTTAGACATTCTTACAGGGAGCTCGCAAGGTCCCCTTTTACGGAGGAAAGCCGCGCCGGCAGGTCCCCGCCCCTCAGAAAGTCTGTTGCCGGAGATGCCGGCATAGCTCTTATGACTTCTTTATCGGTGCATACTACCTCATTCGGATCCGGTCGATATGGTCCAAATAGGTCCTGACCATGCGTGTCACCTCATAGGCATAGTATTGGTGATTTGGCCGTAGTGCTGTCGATAAGTGGTCTGCTCCTTCAAACTGTTTTCCGGATGATCAAACAATACGCAGGGTTTAACTATGGGTTTAATTGTTGGTTCAGAGATTGGAGATATCTGCAGAGCACGGCGCAGCCGCAAATTCGCACCTGAAGAAATAGTATTCGTAGTATTTATGTTATGGGCGATAAATACCCCACACCAGACGCAAACCTTCCTCAAAAGCGTTATATTCGCCGCTGTACATTAAAGCGGCGGCATAACCGGAGGATGCAGTCTGAAGCACCTTCCCTTCACCTCGCTCGCCCTCGCAGGGGACCAGCAATGGCAAGTGCAGAGGCAGGGAGCCCCCCGCCTACGTAAAGGGGGCCGCCACCGCCCTCCTTTCTAACGCGCGTGTGTATGCGTGTGTGTTCGCGCTCCTGTACTCCTGCTCTCTTCCCTCCCTACCCCCGCTATCCCTACTCCTCCCGCTATACCTCGCCCTCCCCTCACGCCTGCTCCTCTATACACCCACCCTCCCCCTCTCCGCCCTCCCCCTCCCCCCAATCCGGCGGTGCAGTGAACGTCATCCCCCGCCAGCTCAGGCGCCAGGCATGCAGCCCGACCCGCCAGTCCAGCATGGGCAGCTGCTCCACCTGGGAAACCAGATCCGGATCTTCCACGACACCGGATTCACCCACCAGGTAGCCCTGTCGTATTTGGATGCCGTACACACGAGCCGCAGTGGAACGGTACAATGAGGAGGGAGGTAAAACCCTAAGTGTTGTTCCTCCCACACAGCCGCCCGCCCTTCCTTGCCCCCCGTCTCCCCCGTCCCCCCCCCCTAACAGGCTCCCTCATACACCCTCCCACATCTCCCCCGTCCCGCCTTACTGAGAAGCTAGGCAGCCTAGCTAGTAGTTATAGCAATGAACTGTTTCCTCTCTCCCTTCCTTTATGCTGGCCAAAAAAACAGAAACAGAATAAAGGAAACCTTGTACGGCGGTAGCTTTAGCTCTTACCGCAATGGGCGCGTACATGACGTCGCCCACCAGAGGACGCCCGATCGATGCCAGCTGGGCGCGAATCTGATGTGTGCGCCCCGTGTGCAGGTCGATTGTGCTCTCGTACAGCCGCCGCGGCGGGGGCGCCTCCATGGGGGTGGTGGGGGATTGGTTGTTGGAGGGGGGGGTGCGGCCGGACACGTTGGGGAAGGGTTTCGCCACCGCCGTCGTTGCTGACAACACCGGCATCGACACCGAATTGTTGTTGGTATTATTGTGGTTGCTTTTCTTGTCGGTGGCTGTGATGTCGGCGCCAAAGATGGGCGTGGTTTGCGGATGTGCGGTAGAGTTCGAAATGCCGTCGCTTTGCTGCTGTACAGGATGCACTGCACAGCCGCAACTGTCAACCAATAACTGTCGCCGTACCTCTTTTTGCGACCCAGATGGTATCAGTTGCTCCTCTTCATCCCTCCGCTGGTGCTGTTGTTGCTGGGGCTCATGGACATATGTCTGTTGTCGGTTACCGTTATGGTGGTTGTGGTCTCGGAGGTCGCCTTCGCTGTCTTGCAGGTGGAAATTGCGGTTGCTGCTCCCCCCCATATGCTGCTCCTGGTGTTGCCGTACGGCAGTGCCGTGCACGGCATCCTGCCCTCTCCCGCCAAAATGCTGTTGGTACCAAGCCATCGCCCCAGTGTGCTCCTGAAACCGCCGGGGTAATGGTGGTGGTACGGATGTTGGGTGCGGGGTGGAGGCGAGGGGTTCTGGCAAAGGGTTAGGAAATGCGCAGAGCTGTCCAGGAGCTGCCAACAAAATCCATTTTTGGATATTTCGGTCTGTACAGCTGTACAGAGCCACTCTCCTGTAAAATTTCCTTTTCCCAGTGCTTGCTCGTACAAACCACGTAACGAGCGATCTCCCAATGTACGACACATGGCCAACAAACCCCAAGCCAGTGCCCCCCTACCCTAGGGTTTCGAAGCCTCCCCGTGTTTTCATACACTCCCCCTCCATTCACGCCTCTCTCCATTTTCCGTTCAATGGAGATCGGATTGACAGTCGGGTCACTTATAGTCCTTACCCGGCACTCCCGTACATCCAACCGACATAACCGCCATCGTGCATGTGCTGTACGGCTCAACAACCGGGGGCCCCGGGGCCGCAAGTTGCCGCCGCCCAGCACCGGTGCCCCCTCATTAAATGGACCGTCGTACATGTAGTGCTCAAGCGTGCCTAATGGCACGGGACTGTACGTCAATCCCTTGTACGTCTTGATCAGTCCCGCCTCGCGGTCTTGGAGGGAACGTTTGAATGCCTTATTGGCCTCTTTCGTACGGGAAAGTACGACAACGCCTGTCGTCCATTGGTCCAATCGATGGCACACCTGGCGTACAACATTCGTTGCGGGAAGAGCATCCAGGAGCAAAGACCGCCCCAAGAATTGTTTTTCATGAAATAATAAAAGAGAGTACGACAGGGACCGTACGCGATTGCTAAGAAGAATGTCAGGGAGATGTAAATTACATTACAAATTAGGTACAAGAATTTAAGTTAATAACTCCCCTAATCCAACTTAGATGCCATCACTGCAGAGCATCCTAAACCTCAAACTCAGCCCTGCACTCGCCAGGAGCCCGCCCGCCCCGTATTCCTACAACAAGCCCCTACCACCCCCACACAGCCTCCCCACACACTCACCCTCCGCCGCCGTCTCCATAGTTGCTCCTCTCCCCCTCTCCCCTCCAGATTCCCCTCCCTAACCTCCCCACGACCCCCTTCCCTCCCTCCCTCCAGCCACTCCCTTCCACCCCCTCTCCCTCCGCCTCCCTTTCCCCCGTCCCTCCCTCCCGTCTCTCCCTCCCTCCCACTCCCCCCTACCTCCCTACCTCCCTTTCCCCCCTCCCTCCCGTCTCCCCCTCCCTCCCTCCCGTCTCTCCCTCCCTCCCACTCCTCCTCCCCCCTACCTCCAGTCCCTCCATCCCCAGCGCTCTCCCCACACAGCTGGCGAGCTCCTCCAGGGCGTTGCTCTCGTGCCGCATGCAGGGCAGTCCGGCGGGCTTGTTGACCACCACGTAGTCCGAGTCGCAGTGGAGAACACGACGGGGCCTGCGGGGATGGAGGGGCAAGGGGGTGAGGGGATAGCAGGGGGTGTATGTCTGTGTGTGTGCGTGTGTATAAGCAATTGTGGGCGTGCGCTTTCTTCATTGAAATTGGCGAGCCAGGTGAAAGGAAAACCACGGGATGCAATATGTGATCCGGAGCACACACGCACACGTACAGCTACCCCACATGCCCACTGCTCAGATAATAAATATACACACACATGCAGGCAGGCAGGCAGGCAGGCAGGCACGTACCAGTCGGCGCAGTAGCAGGCTGGGTATCGTTTGGGTCGGGGGTGTACTCGTACGTAGTGACCACGTGGTACGACAGCCGCTGTGGGGGCCACGGGCAGCTCCAGTGAGCGCATCCAGTTGATGAAGTCGAGACCCTTCTGCGGTACACCCACGTACACGGCCCCCAGCTGAAGCAACTCCAGAGCGCGGGCTCGCCCGAATTCTATTGCGGCGGCGGCGACAGGTTCTTCTTTATCTTTTCCGGCGAAAGGGGCAGGAGGAGGAGGAGGAGCAGCTGCGTAGAGTGGGGATGGGGCGCGGGGGAAAACGATGTATATAGCAGGACTTTTGCGGTGGAAGGTGTGGGGTGGAGTGGGGTGGGGTGGTCATGGGATGGCTTCGTAGGGGGGTTGGAAATGAAAACTCAAACCTATATAATGGCGGAGGAAATACTTCGCAAGTCGCAGTGGCCATGATTTGTCATGATACTGTCATGTGGCACCAAAAAGACCTACGGCCTCCGTCCTGCGATGACATAGTCCTAAGGACGCTTACCGGCCGCAGCGTTCGCGAGGATGTGCTCCACCACATCCAAGAGTTGAACTTCCTCTAATACTTTAAACCTGATGCTATGCTCCTGACGACAAGACAAAAGGACGCAATTGAGGGTGACGGCCGCATTGACAGGTAGCAAAGAAGTGAAGGAGAAGCAAAGCAACCTCACATTACTATCAACTGGTTCCAGCGACATGGACTTATTGCTGCAAAAGGCGCTGCTCCGTCTGGAAACCGTCTGTCGGCGCCGGGCTGGGGCGCATGGAGCGCATAAAGGCGGTCGCTGGTGCTTAAGGAACGGAACAAGAGCCATTGCTCATCGAATATATATTTAAAGCATACCCCAGATGTAACGATCATCCAAGATTGAGCTAGGTCATGGGGCACGAGTGAGAATATAGTTACGCCTGATACCTGACAACCGAATAAGACACATAGTCAAGAGTCAACCATCAGCTGATAATCGCACTGCCTGTACATACATGCTTCAGCTATTTTTCCCTGAACCTGGCAGTGGCGATTTGCTGCGCATTGACAGGAACCATGCAAGGCACTTGCTTCGGGTTTCACTGCGAGCTCATTACGCGGATCTTCACCGCCGTCATTACCGCCTCGCCCTGGCCGAATTGCAATATGGGTCCGTGCTTCTTGCGGCTAGCTGTTGCATCATGGGACTTGCAATCAGCTGGAGATGAGCATTGCACGATGAACGGCACACATGACAAATGGGTCAGGTACGGCTGTCGGGAAGTTCCAATTGGGGTTAAATGTTGAGGAGTTACATATGCGGAGCAGCTCGTTAAACCTGATCGATTGACTGGCACGCTGATGCACGTTATGAATCGCAGAACCGGGTCAAACATGGTCAGCAGACGGTGTACTAGATGAGCATTGGTGCTTACGGAAAATACAATAAACCGAATTGTTGAAGGCAGCTTACTCAGCAGACCGTCAGAGCGCTGTGGTTGTGATTACGTTCGTAATTGCGGACGCATGAAAGATGAAGGGCTTGCAACTGTCCGGTACATCCCCAAGGAGGCATCCTATGCTAAGATCAAACCCTCCATGACCATGGATGTAAGATGCATTTCCATAGGGTCTAGCATTGACGCTTTCTGGCCTGTGGGGCTGCGGTTTCAACGGTGCCGTACCAGCACCGCTGCATTCTCGGATTGTTCCCGTGCGGGCGAGAACTCATAGCCATATGTCATATAAAGCTTAGCTGGGATTGGTGCGTTTTATTCGATATCGCATAACGCAGTCCTGTGTCGCAAAAACTGTTAACACCACCCTTCCACATCTTGCACAACTACATCTTGTTTTCGTAGTAGCGTTTCCGTGATGCTATTACAATCTATTCCTAGCAAGGGAGTATGTAAACGTCCGAACAAATACCTTTTTTACTTGCGTCCGGAACAGCTGAATGGAAAGGTTTAATGCAGAAGGCGACGGAGCCGATATGCCCCTTGTTTGCATCGGAATTGCTTCCCAGGTCTTGATAAAGGCATTCCGGCACAGCCTCCCCATGAGATACACAACCTAACCAGAAGCAATGAAGACACCGTTCCACGGGGCTTTAAGCCTCCTGGTGTTCCTCCTTACCATCATCTGCACGTATGCACTCGCGCCACAAGGCGCGAGTCTTCACATCCCCCGCACGCGCTGGAGTGTGCCCATCTCCTTCTGCTGGATTCCATGGTTTGCAACCGGCCTACTGCTCCTCTTCCAAGCTCTGAGCTTTAAGGAAGTGGGAGCCGCGCTTGTCGGCGAGGGCAGCCTCAGACCATCCTCCATCATCGTCACCTACATGTCCCTCGCCTACCTAGCCGTCTCCTGCGAAATCACCGGTTTGTATTCATGGTTAGCTCTCCACGCGGCTAGGTGGTCTCGAGGCAAACCAGTCCTTCTGCTAGCCGTCTTTTTCGCTTTATCAGGAGCGTTGACCGCGGCCATCGGCCCAGATGTCAGCTTGGTCGCGTTGACTCCCGTGGCCATCTACACAGCCGGAGCCGCCAATTTGGATCCCATGGCCATGGCCGCGACCCACTTGGGGTCCGTGTCCCTTTGGGGCATGTTGGTCCCCGTCGCCGGCCCGATCAACATCCTTACCTCCCACGCCTTCCAGCTCACCTTCATGCGCTTCCTGGGCTGGATGGCTCTGCCTACCTGCGGTGTGTTGTATGTATGTCTGTGTGTCCGTTGGGGAAAACAGTGAAAGTTTCACAGTGAGCGGGTCGGGGGAGAGGGGAAACCATGTGCAGGAATTCTTACAGTTTAGACATTGGGAGTTGATCGTTTGTTTCTAACGACCAACTACCAATGTCTAAATTTGTGTCGAGGGATGGAAAGGGGCCTGGTGCGTGTGAACGGGCAAAGGGGAAGGGTTACAGGGAAACTGAAAGACCGCCGAGTTCAGACGCCACAGATGGTTGGGGGAGCGTGGGTCGGGGCGGGAGCAGCGCGAAGGGGAATGATGGAGGGGCGCTGTGAGTGATGTCACTGTGAGAGACTTGGGGTTGGAGGGGCCCCAGTCGGCAAATAGCTTCCTTTCTCCCCCCATGTCCTCATGGCCCATCCCCACATCCCAATTTTCACTCATTTTGCTTCACTCAAGTGCTAACTCCGCTTCGTCCCCACTCGCTCACCTCATCCATGCTTGGAACGCAGGCAGCTGAAATGCTTTTACATAGATCTGTCGCTTAGACAGGTTTTCCCCCACCCCCCAACCCACCCCCCTATGACCCGACCGCAGCCGCCGCAGTGGTGATGTTCGGGCTGCTGTACGTGCTGTTGCACAGAAGCCGCGTGGCAGCACTGGCAGCGCGGTGCGATCCAGTGACAGCAACAACCGTCGCCGCGGCTGCTGCCACATTGCCGTATCCTGACCCGGGGGTCATGTTGCATGACCAGGTAGACGAGCGCTCGGCAGGAAGAGGAGGGAAAGGAAGAGGAGGGAAAGGAAGAGGAGGGGAGGGTGAGGAAGAAGGAGGAGCTTTAATTATCATTGCACGTGTGCCATGTGTGTTGTAAGCTGGGGTAGTGTCTTTTGTGTGTGTTTTGTGTGCCCCGCATCCCCTGTGTGTCCTTGTTCTTCACTACCAACCCCAAACGAGTTCTGATACCCGCTCACCCACTTACCCATTCGCTCAGAGTCACTCAACCGCTTGTCTACCACCTCTGCGCCCCTTCACACCCTCTTCCACCAACACCTCCTAACATACCCCTCCCCCAACCCTCACCCGTACATGCATACAATCATACATACATACGCACGTCCCCAGGTAGGCGCCGCCTGCAGCTCCGCCCTCCTGGCTGGTTGTCTGCTGGCGCTGCTGGTGGCTCCCTGGCTGAGGTGGAGCGGGGAGCTGGTGGCGGCGGTGTTCGCGGCGGTGGCGGCCATTTACAACCTTGTGGCTGGGGGCGGGGGCCCGCTGCCGCTGAGGGTCGCCATCGGCCGCCGCAGCGCCTACGAGCGGAGAAGACGACTGCAGGCTGAGCTGGCTCGGCAGGTGGGTGCTGAGTACGTGTTTGTGTGTGTGGTGGGGGGAGGGGAAGTGCGGGTAATGTGGTATGGGAGTAGTGATAGTGGTTGTGGAAGGTAGTGGAGGGGGATTGGGATGAGTGAGGGTGATGGGGTACGAGCGAACCTCAGACACGGTTGGGCCGGGGCGGGGAGGGGGGGGGGTAAGTAGTGGGTTTAGTAGTAGGGTACTCTGCGACTCAGAACCTATGCTGCTCAACAAGAACACACACGCACCTTACTCCACACACACACCACCTCCACCTCCACCTCCTCCTCCGTCCATGTCAGTACACACAGTCTTCTGACTTAGGCCTCTTACGCTCCCGCGGCAACCGCAGCCGGGCCCATCCCTTCAGCAGTTTGGTGCTTTGGACCTCGGCAGCACTTTGTTACATATTTCTTTACTCGCACATGATCCCCTCCTTCCTCGGCGCCTTCTTCACCCCCCCACACCATCGCCACCACGCACCACCTCCGTTTCCACCATCCCGAACCCCGCAACCCATTCAACTCCCAACCCACTCACCCACCCACCACCACCGCCACGTCGTCAGGGTCACCAGTGGGTGGTAAGTGATGAGGACCTGGCGGACCTCCTCCTGTCGGCGGCTCACAACCGCCAGGCATCACTCACGAGACTGGCAGCAGCAACTGCTAACAGAGTCACGGCTTCAGCTACGTATAGTACAGCGGCGGCGGCGGCGGCAATCGGAGGTGGCGGCGGAGCCTCCATCCATCGGCGGCCCTCCTCTGGTTGTGATGGAAGCGTTAGAGCTGACGGCGGCGGCGGCGGTTGCGGTGTGAGGTTTTCGTCTACTGGTACGGGTATCACAAGCTGCGGGAGTCTAAGCCGTCACAGCCTGACTAGCCTGGCATCGCTTGGGGCTGGCGGCGGTAGCGGCGGAGGCGGCGATGGCGGGCTGCCTTCGCCTGTACGGCGGTGGTTTTCCCGCCGGTGGTCGTCGTTCCGTGGCTTTTTGCTGCCACCCGCCGCCGGCTGTGAGCTGCTGGAAGCCGCGGCGGAGGCGAGGGCGGATCTGGGCATGCTGGCGGAGTACGGCGCCGCCGCCGGTAGCACAGTGGCCACACAAGCATGGAATGGTCGTCCTGACGGGGCCGCCGCGGCCGCTGCCGGGGCCGGCAGCAGCAGCAGCAAGGGCCCGTCATTGCATTCGTGGATGAGCTTAGAGCTGCAGCACCTACTGACCCACGGGACGGCCGCAGTGCCGTCGGACTCCTTAGAATGGTGGGCCGCCGCCGCGTCGGCTGCACAGGGGATGCTGTGGACAGAGCCTGGAAGTCTGGCGGAGGCCGCTCTTTTGTCTCAGTCGGTGGGAACGTACCAAGGTGGTGGCGGCGATCTGCTCGTAGCCGACGCCGGTGACGAAGTCAGAAACGGTGGCGGCGCCACAACCTGTAGCGGTATCGGAGGCGGAGGCGGCTGGCGGTGGATTAGTTCCTCGGCTGGAACAGTCGATGGTGTCGGCGGCGCCGCCGGCGGTTGCGGAGCCCGGCGGAGGAGGAGTTTGACCGCACAGAGCCCTTTCGCCAACGCCGCCGCGATGGCCTCCTCGGACTGGGATGGTTGCCCGGCGATCGCGTCGGCCTGCGGAGCGGCTGCTGACGTCGCTACGACGACCGTAACCGCGGACGCGAATCCAGATGACGGTGTACGGCAGGCCGCGGTCATTGACGGCCACCGCAGGCAGCAGTCCTGCGAGGACGTGAGCGCCGTTGTGCAGCGTACCCCTGGGGCTGCCCGTTCTCAGGCGGGGCTCCGCACGTCAGCTGATGACCCATGGGACGCTCGTGGCGCGGCGGATGGGGGCCGCGATGGCAACGTCGGCGTCGACGGCAGCTGCGGTCAGGAGGTTGGAAGCGGACGCGAGCAGGAGCCCCCGAGTAGCGGACCGGACACTGCGAGCCGCATTCTGCGGGCGGTGTCTTTGGAAGGGGGATACGGCCGCGGCGGCGCCGCTACTGCTGCGGCGGTGGCGGCGGCGGCAACTGTCGCCGATCCCGCAGGATCCGTTCTTTCGCTGCACCGCCAGCCATCCTCTCATCCGTTACAGACATCGCCGCTGCATCCACAGAGCCCGCCAAGGCTGTCGTACGGCGGCGGCTACCACGGGGGGAACGACGAGCGGTATGCCCTCACAATCATGGCTCCACCGCCGGCGGATCGCGATGCCGCGGGGAGCCCGGCAGCGGCGAGGCTGCTCCCGCTGCCGCCGCCGCTGCAGCGTCGTCAGACTCTGCCGTCCGCGTTGGGTTTTGAGGGTCTCTTTGGCTGCTGGCGGCGTGGTACGGTACATCAAGGGGGAACGGCAGCGGAATCGGCGGCGTTGCTACCCGCTTGCGCTGCGGCCAGCGACGACCCGTGTCACACGGCGTTAAGGCCGCTGCCGCTGCCGGTGCCGCCGGCGGCGGGGCAAACGGCGGCAGCTGGAAAGACCGAGCCAACCGAAGATGAGGCGAAGTGGCCGCACCGTATTTCTGTACATGCGTTCCACATCAACCGGCACCTGAACAGCTCATCAAGCCTCGGGGGAGGTCTGGATGATAATGCAAGCGGCTACAACAAGAGCCCCGCGGTGACAGCGATGGCGACGGCGCCGTCACCGCGGTGCAATCCCATCCAGGACCTAATGGACGTCAGCCCCTCCCGCCGCCTCGCCCCCTTTCCCTCCACATCCACCTCCGCGGCCGCCGCCGCCGCCCCAACTGCGCTCGGCGTCATTCTCTCAGCCGATGGTGCCCCGGAGCGATGTTACAACTACGCCGGTGGAGGTGGCGGCGGCTGCGGCGGCGACGGTCGCGATGGTGCAGATGGCAGCTGCGGTGGCGGCGGCGGGGGTTTTAGCCGCTGTATGAGCTTTGCTGGTAGCAGGGTTAGCTATGGTGGAGGCGGCGGAGGCAACTCTGCCACCCCCCGCATTTCCCCCGGCGCCGCCACTTATCCCACCACCACCACCACCCCTGCTATTGTCACTGGTGGCTGGGGCAGTAGCACCTATAAGCTGAGGCGGCCGTCCGTGGCGTTGCTGCTGCTGGGCTCCCGGGAGGTGAGTGTGGGGGATGAGAAGTGGGAGTGAGCGAGAGTGGGAAGCGGAGGGTGCGGTCTTTGGATGATTTGGTTGTTTGGTCGATTGATCGACTTGTCACAATGTGAGGTGTGATGGCGTGTAGCGTGTGTGTGTGTCTGTCTGTCTGTGTGTGTGTGTGTGTGTACCCGAAGGGGACACACACCGACATAAGATAGACCATACAATTGCAAAAGGTCAAAACGAACCGAAGACCTGGTATATAGCCCCTGCAGTGTGATGGTGGGGGGGGCCAGAAACTGGCGAGGAGGGCAGATGAGCCGAGTGAGATGTGTGTCTCGGTGTCTCGGTGGGTGTGGGGTCGTGTCTCCGGACGGGGGGATGCAGAGATCCTCAGCTGACTGTTGGAAGGCGGGAAAGCGCCACCTGCCGGCTGTGCACCCCTCGTCTTCCTCCTCCTCCTCCGCCTTGTCCTCCTTGTCCTTGTCCTCCTGCTCGCGTGCCTCAGCTCACATACATACATACGTACGTACGTACATACGCAAGCACACACATGCGACATTCGCACACACGTATGCACAAACCCCCCACATGTGTATTCATGTATTCATGTACGTATATCCGCAGGTGAGCTTCCTGGGTACCTTTACCGCTCTGCCTTGGGCAAATATCGTGCTCATGTTGGGCTGGTTCGTACTGGTGGAGGCCATGCAGGTGAGTGGGCGCCAGGAGGTGGTCGGGTTGGTTTCGGAGCCGGGCTTGGTCTGCGGTGCTGGCCTGCGGAAGGGTGAGGGTGAAGAGGTTGAGGTGTGGTGCGGTGCGGTAAGGAGGCCGCCACGCGCATGCTGGTCCATATCCCTGGAGACCATCGCCCACTGCCGCCCTGTCAACGCTTGCCTTGGGCCGTCATGGGTGTCACTGTCCCGTGGGTCACATGTGCCACTCTGACCCGTTCCACCTTTACCCTCGCGTCGGTTTACGAACGCCCCGCATCGGCCCCTGACACGTCCCCCGCTGGACCCTCCGTGGGATGATCTACGCAGGTACACGGCTGGCTGGACGCTCTAGCTCGCTGCCTCACCGCCATCGTCGACGCCAAGGACCCCCTGCAACTCTCCTCCTCCTCTTCGCCCTCTTCGCCCTCTTCGCCCTCCTACTCCACGGATGACGTCACAGTCATCCGTACCGCCGCAGCCACTCCCGCCTCCGTCGTCGCGGGTGCAGTCTTCGCGATCGGCTGGTTGTCAGTCCTCCTGTCCATCGGTATGACCGGCCAGTCCACCGCGCTGCTCCTGGCTCGAGTCATAATGCGCCCGGAGTTCCTCCAGCTCCTCGTCCCGCAATACCAACAACAACAACAACAACAACAGCAGCTTCTCCAACTGCAACAGCAGCAGCTACAGGTGTCAGCTAGCGGCAGCACCGCGCTAACAAACACCAGCAGCATTGCCGATACTGGTACAGCTACTGCCACCTTTAGCGATCTAGGCCGTAATGGTTTCGGAGCTTCAGCGCACCGCGGCGCCCAGCTGGCGCTAGTGGTGGCGGCCAATCTGGCGCCTGCGCTGTCCCTCAGCGGTTCATTGACGGCATTACGATGGGGGCTAGGGCTGCGGGAGATGGGAGTACGGATGCGATGCTGCAAGATCTTGGTTTCGGGGCTGGCCCCGGCGGCACTGGCCGGTATGGCAGTGGCGCTGCTAGTATTGTGGATTCAGTGCATCGTGTGGCAGTAGGCAGGTGCGTGTACATCTGTATGTATGTATGTATGTATGTATGTATGTATTCGTATGTGTTTAGCGAGCCTCAGTTTCAAACATGAGAAAGGTGCACGGGGTATGTGTCACACAAGCCCGGGCGTCGAAGGAAGCCGAGTGGGTGGCAGGTGAATCGGGTGGATTGGATAATTGCTTATGATAATGGTAATGGCATTGGGGGTCGTGATGTTGCAGCAGTAGAGGTGGAGGCTCTGCAGGTGGCATGAGGTGCTTTCTCTGCGGGCCTTATGGGTTTCTTCGCTCATCGTTAGGTGGGAGCGGGCAGATGTACATGTGTGTGAAGTGGAGTCCTCAAGTCTTCAGTTGTCGCCGGCGCAGCCTGCTGAGTGAGAGTAAATGTACATCTGTCTGTATTTATTCTGAAGTTTGGCGTAATACTCATGATTCTTTTTCTGGGCGATGATAATACTTAGAATGTACGCCCGGTCGCGGCATCGACGGCCAAGATGGTCACAGGAGGTGAGGGTTTGTGAAATGACCAAGTGAGGGGGTAGGAGGGTGAGGGGGTTTACTGCTTCTGCCTGCGTGCGCGGGGCGGGGTTTTGGGTCGTGTGTGTTGGGGGGCTAGGAAGCGGCATCTGCAGAGCAGCACCGCAGGCGGCAAGCAAGCAATTATAACGAACAAACGGACGAGCGAATCGGGGTTATGAAAAAAAGAACGCGATCTTCGTGACGGCACGGGCTCTGCTGTGAAGCCTGCGAACACACTGCTCTGCTAATGTATTGATGGAAACGGTTACAGAGGATCTCGCTCCCATGCCCCCACCAACAATCAACACCTGACCCGTGAGGGTACCGGCTGGGTGGCGGCAGAGAGGGGCCCTGCGATGGGGGGGGCCCGGTTGCAGCCATGCGCCATGGGTCTCATCTGCACACACACGGTCAGTCGCGCTTTTTTCATATGAAAGCGTGAGAGTATGCATGCGTATACGCGTATGTACGTCTGCACATGCACGACTCTGTTTGGTTTGTATGTATCTATGTATGTACATATTTTGCTCAGCATCGCACAGCACACCCACAAAAACTATCTAACCAGCCAAGAGCCAAGAGCGCCCTTACCCCTGCATGTATGTAGGCAGACAGTATGCAATACCAATTGTATGTGCGACAGCAACATCAGCCGTCAACAAGTACCCCCACCTCTCCACCGCCACCCTTTACCTCCACTACACCCGGACGACCCTCGAAATAGCCGGATTCGTAGCATCCCCGCAGCTATTCAAACCACCACCTGCCGCTCATCATCACCAACACCACCCAGCCCTATTCCGAGGGTGTAGCAAGCATCGAGCCATTGGCCACAATGCAAAACTGCAGCAAACATGTACACACAAAACACACGCACGCACCACCACCACCACCACTCTATGCCAACAACCCCGCCCAGATGCCACCTGCAGTAGCTCGCGCACCCTACACCGGATTAACTAAGGAAGGGGGGGATCAAGGAGAAGGAGGAGAAGTGCGGCGCCTTGAAGATCCCTCACTGCACTTCGGCGGCGGTGGCAAGATGGACTGTGAACAACGAACGAACAGCGCCCCGTCCTCCTCCTCGCCACTTCTAATACACACACACGCAGTGCGCAAACCCGGGGGTGGGGTTGTGGCCGCATGGGGGAATCCGAATTTCTCTATGACCTAAGGCCAACAACACGACACAAACAAAGACTTCATGACTGTTATGGTGCCGGCATTGAATCGGTCGGTAGGCTCACTACGTATGTACAATGCACGACTGGCCGTATTCCACACCACCCGCCGCTACTGCGACGCACATCCTCCACACATAGGACATGCTAGCCAACAGACGTCGCAAGTGGACTAAACACTTACATGTAGAGACACGTACATACACACACACACAGCTACAAGTGCTATGCTTAGCCTTCCTGGCGGTACGACTCTGGTCGCGTACGTACGTACGTACATGCATACACACGCCACAATAGATGAACCGACACCTCTCTGCTTAGGTCCTCTATCGGCCCGTCCCTTCCCCCACCTTCCCGTCCATCTCCCCTTCCCTCCCGCCCCGATACCACCATTGTGTTTTCGTGATTAGCTTCCAGGTTGAGATTTCAACCCCCATTCCCTACACACTCCACGAACTTCCCATTCCTCCTCCCTCCCTCTTCGCCTTCCTTCCTCATTAATCACGTGAGGAGAGACGGCACCACTGGAAAGATCCCGACCAGAGATTGTACGACAGAAGACGTGTGTGTGTCTACGACCTCCATGCGCGCCCTCCCGAACAGGGATGATCATTCACTCTGTGCACCGCACACAAGTCAGGCAATCAAGGGGCGTGTGCAGAACAGATGGATTTTACGAGCTACAGGATATGCCGTGTCATAACGACCGGATAACAGCTTGCGAAGGCCTTCTGATATGAGACAGAGAAGACATCAGCAAGTCGTACACATACAACACGCGACGGGCTAATGGCCCTGCGCATAAAGCCGCACAGGACACACATGCAGACACACACACACACACACACACACACACACACACACACACACACACACACACACACACACATAGACGCGCAGTGCCTCCGCTACGACATCAGTCACCAGCACCCCCATGTTGATCTATATACAGATGTGGCGGCTCCTTAGCGGCCTCCAGCCAAAAACGAGACGATGAAATTCTTTCTGTCGTAACCCAGTAACGGTGCAGCAGCAGCAGTGGCAGTAGTAGTAGCACCAGTAGCAGCAGAAGCAGTAGCAGCGTGGAGAGGTCCTGACACCACCACCATCGGGCCCTGCCGCCGCCGCCGCCACCGTCATCATCATCGTCTCCGAGGGCTATTCTCTCGCCCCCGATCCCCCAGCCGCCCGGGGGATATGTGTTGCCGCAACGCTGGTAGCGCCCCCGCCACCGCCGCCGCAGCAGCAGCACCAGGATCCCCAAAGAACCCCCCTCCCACTCCCCCTCCCACTCCCCCTACTCGCAACGGTGATACGTTTTTGGATCCCCCGCGGAAAGGCGATAGATGCGACGGGCCCAGACGACGCGGCGGCGACTCCGAGTACGGCATCCCCATGCCGCTGCTTCCCCCGCCTCCGCCACCGCCGCCAAACCCGCCAAGGGACCGCAACGCAAAGTCAGCGGCGGCAGCACTGCCGTTCGCGGCGGCGGCGGCTCCGGAGTGGTTGGCGGCTCCTGCCGCAAGCACCATCTTGAGTCGGTTGTTCTCCTCAACTAACTGTCGTAACGCCGCCGTCGCCTCAGCGCGCGAGGCCGCCAGGTCCTCCTGGTGAACCACCTCCAGTTGCTGCCGCCGTGCGGTGCCGGTGTGTTTATTATCCGGAATCGAATGCCAAGTTAGGGAAGTTAGGGAAGAGGGGGCGGAGGATTGTGGGGACAGGAGTGGGGAGGAGGAAGAGGGAAATGCAGTGCTGGGGATGGAGATAGAGAAAAAGGAGGACGTGGGGGTGGTAATAGAGGAGGAGGAGGAGGAGGAGGAAGCTCAACAACAGTCCCAAACGTCCGTCAACTCCCCATTCCCTCCCCCCCTCCCTCTATACCCGGAGGTAACCCCCCTCTCCCCGCCCTGGCCCCCCTCCACAAACACACACACACACACACACACACACACACACACAAACACACACACACCCCTGAATGGCGCTCTATGCGACTATGCCCCCCCCCCATACCCCCCTCCCCCCTTCCAGGGGCCGATGACCCACCCGCATCTCTGCCACATGCAGTCTAGCCTGGTCCTTCAAATCGCGGTTCGCCGCTACCAAAGCCATCTGCGGGGGTAGTGGTGGTGGTACGGCGATGGGAGGTGGACGTCCGTACGGCACGGAGCCGAGAGAAGAGGAGGAGGAAGCTGCAGCAGCAGCGGCACCGACAGGCGGCTGCGGAAAGGACGGAGGAGGATATGGGGGGTGGGGAAAGGAAGGAGGGAAGGTAGCTGCAGCAGCAGCAGCAGCAGCAGCAGCGCCAAGAGGATAACTGACGGCTGAGTCCAGCCGGGAATCAACGCCGCCGCCCAGACGGTAGTTGAGGAGGTTGAGGTCGTGGCTCTGGCCGTACTGCCATAAGGTCGGTTGTCGGTTGGTCGGTAACAGCAGGTGAATGGTTGCCGGATGGGCCGGTCGAGCGGTACATGGCGGCCGTACCGAGCCGTACCGAGCCGTACCAGGCGAGGATGCGCAATGGGCATATGGACGGATGGAGCAGCGGGTAACTACGATAAGAGCATTTCAAGATTGGCTAGCAGCGCAGCATTTAAGACTTCAAAGTTATATTGCCAAAACCCTGAGTAAAAGGAGATATAAGGAGACGATCTGCTGGACTGTGATTTCAGAGGGACGATGGCTAAAGGGGGGTGGCGATGGGCGTCGAGACGCAATTTACCTGCAGCAGGATGAATGTTTGACGGAAAAAAAAGAGCGGAGGGTATATAAATGTAGTATATATGTATAACGACCGTATATTCTCTACGACGTGCAAAGTTTTGAATATCACAGTCCCGAGCAGCAAAACCTTAACGAGCTTTTAAACCCAGAGCTTGCAGGTGTCTATCTGTACAAAAGGACTAGTCCTTTTCTAGGCCTTGATAGTCACATCAAAATCTCCTTCTCCACCCTCCCATCTAACCACCGTAATCAACATTCACTCCCATCGCCCCTTTCCCCTTCCCTCTCCCCTTTCCCCCCACGTCCCCCCCAATACACATCCACGCACCCCACACGCACACGCACACCTGCATGGCCCTCATATCCGCCTGGGACCGGGCCACCGCCTCACTCCGCGCCTTCTCCGCCAACACCAATTTGCGCTTCAGCGCGTACAGCTCGGCATCTCGGTGACCTGAGCGGGTGCGGAGGGCGGACCGAGACAGACAGACAGACAGACAGAAAGTTGGTACGATGAAGGGTATATTTATATAGGCCGGAGAAAGGGGAAGAGGGGTGGAGGGGAGGTGGAGGAAGAGGGTTTAGGTGCGGGTCAGCTCCGGAACCAATACACACAAACTGTCACCCCGGGCCACACGCCACGGTCTCCTCCTCCCTACCACCCATCATCCATCACCCATCACCCACCACCCATCACCCACCAACACAACCACAAAGCACCGACATCCGACTATTCCTCCACAGCCTCCCCTCCCGTACGGGAGGTGGTACGGAAACGGGGGCTGTAGGAGGGGTCGTGGTGAGAGGGGGCCTTGAAGCGGCGAATTCCAACAACCAACCACCCCACACCCACCCGCTACCAGCAGGCGCCGGGGTCCCCAACATCACCGCCACCACCACCACCTTCCCCTTTCACAGCATCCACCAATTTATCAACCGTTCCAAGTTGTTCTCATGTCGTCGTGTACATCATCATGCCCCACCCGCTTTCCCGCCTCTTCCGCTTTCTAAATAACCACCAGAGCAGTGCTCCATCGTCACCTCATCATCACCTCATCCGGCCCCTTCCAGGGCCTCTGCATTGCACATACACATATGGAGCCCAGCCCCTAAGACCCACCGTACAGTACGGGATCCTGCTCCGACATAGGCCCCGGGCCCTTCGCGGCGGCCATTGCTTCCAATAGCCCCGGAGGTGTAGCCGTTACGGGTGCTGCCAACCGAATTGCGCGGTCTCGGAGGCGGTTCACTCGGTGCTTGGCTTCCAACGGAACATCGCGGGTGTTGAAATCAGGTCGGTTGGCAATGTCGTTCTTACCGTTGTTGTTGCCGTTGCCGTCACCATTATTACCGTTGATACCGTACCCATCACCATCTTGGAGGTGTCGGTGGTGGTGATGATGGTGGGGAACACGGCCTCGAAGGGGTTTCAGTTTGACTGTACGGAAGGGGAATGCGTGGGTAGGGGTAATGGTACGGGTAGGGGTAGGGGGAAGTTCAATTGTAGGACGAAGCACATGGCCAACCGCCGACCTGTCCACAGCAGTGTGAGGCGGAGGTGGGGAGAGGTCAGAGGTGGCGGTGGATGTCCCGATGTTGGCGGACATAGGCGGAGAGGTGGGGGATACGAACAGAAGGGGGGGGACGGGCGGATGTGTGGGGCGATATGTGGTGGGTAAATTAGGATTGGTACTGCTTGATAATAGTTGGTTGTCGTTGGTTGTCGCTGGTAGCAGTTGGTAGTAGTTGTGGTGGTGGTGGTGATGGGGGGACGCACAAGTCAGAGGGGGAATCGTTCTCCACTTCGCGGGGCTGATTCAGCGGCTCTACTCAGCCAGGCCCCCTTTTAGGGCAGTTCGGGCAGTGCGCCGACACAGTGAACGAAATCCACCTCAACCACCAACCACCTTCCGCAACCGCCATACCTGGACTGCTACCTCCTCCCATCAGCGCAGCCGCCATCGCCGGATCCATCTCCCACATCCCACCATTCTCCATACCGCCACCACCATCACCACCACGCATGCCGCCGCCGCCGCCGCCGCCGGGGCCGCGAGCGCCGCCGTCAGCCAAGGCCATAGCAGGATCGGATCCCATTCCGGAGCCCATAGGGCCCGGTGGCAGCGGCACGGATGAGAACACGTTGTTACTGCCGAAGGGAGGGTAGCTGGCGGCGGTGCTGCCAATGCCGCCGAACATGAGACTGCTGCCGTTGGGACCCATGGGTCGGCCGTTGGGCTGAGGAGCCTTAGGAGGGAGGGGAACAGTGTGGGGGGGGGGCAGTAGGGGGGTTTGGGGGGAGGACGAGATGTAGGAAAGAGACAGGGAGTAACGGGACGATGGAGTTCGGAGGGAGGGAGGCTGGGAGATTGGAACTGGCAGCTACAGGCCCGTGTAGCCGTGTGTGTGCATGTATGCATGTATGCATGTATGATGTGTGGAACAAGGGGGCATATCTTCACCCGCGGCAGCTACCCGGCGAAACCCTGCCTTCCCCGGTATTCGGGGCACCCTCATCCAGTCACCCTAGTCAACTTCTCAGTGGATCGCTCAGGTTCCGCACCCACCACCAGCATCCAACGGAATCTGCCGGATCGACGGCGGCTCAACTCCATTCCTGGTCGGCTCGCAAGATCACTTTATCCCAGGTTACCACCGTCCATCGACTAGGGGCACATTTACTTTCCATCATCGGAAGGATTTTCGACCCTGACAGGTCTCGATCCCGGGATCTCCCGGGGGCAATGGTCGTGCCTTACCAGTAGTGCCTAACCTAGTATAAAGTATGTATGCATGTATGTACCGGATCTGCTGGCCCCAATCACGTTTCATACGAACCAACCCGCCTCAACCCCCACAACGAACACTACCATCCAACTGCACATACATACATGTGTGCATACACACGCTCCCACCCACCCACCCACCCATCCCCCCACGCACCTGCATCCTGAGCACCATGCCCAGCAGTGTGTCCCTCTCCCGGGTCAGGGCGGACACCTCCCGGCCGAGGGAGGACACGTGACTGCGGAGACGCTCGAACTGCCGGTGACCCGCGGGTCCGCCGCGGGAGGCACCGCGACCACCGCCCTCCCCATCGGCACCACCTGCAGGCAAAGTGAGGATGATGAGCAGGAGCAGGAGCAGGAGCAGGAGCAGGAGCAGGAGCAGGAGCAGGAGCAGGAGCAGGAGCAGGAGCAGGAGCAGGAGCAGGAGCAGGAGCAGGAGCAGGAGCAGGAGCAGGAGCAGGAGCAGGAGCAGGAGCAGGAGCAGGAGCAGGAGCAGGAGCAGGAGCAGGAGCAGGAGCAGGAGCAGGAGCAGGAGCAGGAGCAGGAGGGGCACTGACATCATTATTCTGCCATCATTTTACCATCAACTCCAGCTCGAAACACCCCGCCAGTAGTGGTGGTGACAATGATGGCGATCTCGGGTGGCTAGTAAGTGTATACGGTATATATATTGGTAAATTCCCATGGCCAGGACCCAGTCCACGCGTCCCATGGGTCGGGTTGCCCCGTGGGTCAAGGTGCGACTTGGCTGGCTGCCCAGGGTCCCCCTATAGGGCCGACAATGGACCTGCTGCACCCGGAGCCCCTCCAAGGATCTCCATGCGACACAGACCTACCTGCCTACTAGGCCTCCCGCCCTCCCCAATGAATTTTACCGTATTTTATTCCGTTTTTCTACTTTTTCCCCTTTTGACTTTTTATTTACAGCCCCACCCTGACTACCCTGGATTGGGAAAACCCAGGTGGTCGCATTACCTCAAACCTCCCTTTCGAAAGCACTGCCGTACCGCCGTACTGCCGTACCCACCTCCCCTGCCTCCTCCTGGTGGCTGTAGCAGTCCCCGGCCGCCAACTCCACCCGCTGCTACAGCCTCCTCCAACGCCTGCGGCAGTAAGGAGCCACATGCGGCCCCTCCCAGTGACTCAACTCACCGGCAGCACCCCGAGAGAAAGACCGCCCAAGGCAGCACCCCACCCCACCCCAGTCCTCAACGCACCTGCCGCCGCCCCCCGGCATCGCCCTTCTCCTGCCTGACCTCCCTGACCTCCCTGCCCCCCTCTCGTCCTTTCTTTCTCCTCCCACATTTTTACAAACAAGATCGCACATACGCATATACAGACATACAGACATACAGACATACACACGCACACGCACACGCGTAGCTCCCACCTGCAGCCGCTCCCGAAGTTCATCTCGTTCCGCCTCCGCGGCGTTGCAACGAGCCTCCAAACTCGATGCCTGCACCCACCATCACCAATTCACCAATTCACCAATTCGCCATACGAACAAACAACGGATCTGGTTTCCTCACAAGATCCAGGTCCATGTCACAAGATCCAAATCTGATCCAGATCCTAAATCCGTATCCAAACCCGGCCCGGGACATCAAAATCAGCCACCCTACCTGCACCATCGCCTCTCGGGCCTTTCGGATTGCAAAACTGCCCACATTCAGAGACGCGGCACTCGCAAGCCGCTTGGCAGGTTGGCGGCTGGCCTCCCCCTCGCCATCATCGTCGCCGTACACATCGTCAACGTCACCGTCACCGCCGTCCGCTGCGCCGGGTTCCCCAACCTCTGGCGCTTCCGCCGCCAGGCCGCGCCACTTCGCCAGCTCGGACTTGGTCACATCCAGCTCTCGTCGTACAGCTGTTAGTTGACTGTTCAGTTGCTCCACCTGTGTTGTCGTACAGTTGTACGACAGTGTACTCATCTAGTACGAAAAGGAAAATTCTCTTTCCACGCTCCGAATCCTCGCGGAACCAGGGGAGCTTCACAGGCTGGTTGATGGTAAACTCCTAGTCGTGCAACCGGTATCCAAACAAACATACATACAGACAAACATACATACAAACAAACAAACATACAAACAAACGACGCCGCGATGCCTATACGAGGCATGCACGTCGCGCCGTACGTTTCGCTCTTTCTTCTTTCCGAGCAAACGTACCATATTCTTGAGCCTCGCGTCACCGCCGTCCCCGGTCGCCATCCAATCCTCCGCCGCCGTCACCGCCGCCCTCTGTAACGCCGTCTCCGCGCTGCCCGCTCGCCGCGCCGCTGCCGCCGCCACCGCCTCCGACGTCGCCAACTGCTGTTGTAACGCCAACAGCTCATTGTGCATCATCGCCACCGCTTGCACGTTCTCCTGTGTAATGGCGAATGGACAGCAGCAGCAGCAGCAGCAGGGCTGGCAGACTAAGTCTAAGAGTGCTTTTCTGTAAAATATCTTGTGTAAAATATCTTGTGTAATATGTTCAGGCAGATGGCAGCCTCCTCTTTATTGTATACCGCAAGGAGGAGCGCGGGGAGGCGGGAGAGGGAGGCCAAAGCACCACAGGGCAATCCACGCAGGGCTTCAAGGGAAAACACGCAAACACAAATACAGACATACGTACATACATACATACATAAACACACACCGCACATACGCATGTGCGTCCTGCAACGAGTAGCAATCGCCGTCCAGAGAGGCGCCCTTCCGTACCGACACCCCCCTTCCCCCCTCCCCCCCAACCCGGAGCTCTACCACCAGAAGGGCGAGTAATTCAGTTCTATGCAAAGCGACTCGGGGCGTGTTGGTTGGTGTTTGGGTGTCTGAATAACCCAGTAGAGGTTTGTATGTATGTACTACTACTGTCGGCGTCTGGCATCGCAGCCTACCCTCTCTCGTCCCTAGTCCCTAGTCGCTACCACCTATTCCCCTCTCCTCTCCTCTCCCGTCCCTTACCGCCAGACGAGCTGCCTGGTTGCATGCGGCGGTGGCGGGGTCGCTGTCCAGATCCCGATCCGCCCCTGCCACCGCCACCGGGGAGGGACCTAGAATATTCTGTGATGGGTTGGAAGCGGGGAAAGGGGGGGTAAGGGGGGAGGGGTAAGGGGGGAGAGGGGAGGGGGGAGGGATGATGGTGCGTGTGTGTATGTGTGTCTCTTGACACCGGGGGGTTGTGGGAGGGAGGGGAAACACACGCGGCCATTCTTCCCTGCCTTTCCTTCTCCCTTTCCTTCGCCTTTTATCTCCCGCTACATGCGGATGGCTCTCCTGGTAGCGGCAAGGCAGCAGAGGAGACATACAGACACACAGGCAGGCACCCCAGCCCTCCCAGCCCTCACCTCCAACATGCCGACCACCTCCTTAACCTGGGAATGCGAATGATTTCGCAGCAAAAAAGGGGGAGGGATGGAATCATTTGCAAGAAGAAGGAAATCAACAACGGGGTGGGGAGGTGGGGAAATGGGGAGGTGGGGGGATGGGTAATTTTTCCGTTAGCGTAAGGCACCTGCCCGTGTGCAGGGCAGGGCCGCTTAGGGTGTAACACACAAACAGACAGACAGACAGACAGACAGATAGACAAACTTACGCCCGAACCCGTTTTGGTTTCACCTGCTCTGCCAGCACTCTGTACGGCTCCACCTCGGCTAACCGCTCATGGGCTTCCTCTAAGTTCCGTCGAAGCTTCAAGTCGCGGCGGCGTAGCTCATCCCGCTCGTCCCGCATGCCCCTAACCGCCACAACGACCTCCTGCACGTGCGAGACGCGTGACAGAAAACGAGACGATAACACGAAAAGCGACAAACAGCGAAAAAACTGAATGTACCCCTACACTGGGCTCTACTAGAGCCGGTACTAGTAGCACCGCGCTCTAGTACCCGAATGCACCCCTGAAATTCATGGCAGCGGTACTAGAGCCCGGGGCGAAGGAGAGGCGGTTACATCCAGGTGGAATGTCAGGTGCAATTCTCAAGGGAATGTCAGGTGGCCCTGTACGACAGTTTCTACCCTCCACACTCGCGCACGAACAATCAGATTTCCTTTCCCCCCGCTAAGCCCCCTCATCTGGGAAAACAACCCGTACTTCACAATCTCTCACCCATGAACTGGTACACATATACATACCGACTCACAACTCACATATCTTTGACATTAGCGACATTCGGTTATGCAATCTTACAAAGGGATTACAAGGTACAAAATTCCGCACACAAAAGGGCGGGGGTGAGCGCGTCCGTAAAAGCCGGGGGCTCCCGGACATTCTCAAGTAAATTTCCAACACACGCAATACCCATTACTCACTACCTCACCTCCGGAGGAATTTGCTCGTTAGGCCGGGGAATCAACGATTTGGACGGCGACCCGCCAACAGCACCGCCGCCGCCGCCAGCCCTCCCCACACACGCCAACCTCGCAATGCTCCTCAACGCCAGGGAGGGTGTGGTGCCGGCGGCGGCGAGGCTGCCGCTGGAGCCGCTGCGACCCGGCGGCCGCGGCGGCGGCAGATGAAGATCCGGCGGCGTCGGCGGCAGATCGTCGTACACGTCCCCTTGGGCACGGCCGGTGAGGGCCTTATGTATGTGCACGGAAGAGAGGCGCGCGCGCGTGTGTGTGTACACGTTGGCAGGCGGGAGGCGACGGGTGGGCGGGTGGGGGGTTTAGTGCGGGGGTTTTAAATCGAAATACCTGTCAATAGAATGCCTGTCTGTCAATGTGTGTGCTTGCGTACGTATGTATGTATGCATGTATGCATGTATGTATGTATGCATGTATGTATGTATGCATGTATTATAATGTTCGGAGTGAAGAGAGCAATTGCAGTAACGTGGTAAAAGAACGTGAAAACGGTCAGGGGATATCCTACCGCTTGACGCGCATCTTTTTTATTTTGCGTCCCTCCTATAACAATATAGATTCATGCATGTCCATTTGCCGTACTCCTCCAACGGCCCAACCGCCGAACCGTACCTCCAGCCTGTCCAGCAGCCGTGCCTTGTCAATCTCCAACCGTGCCAACCGCTCAGCCATCAGCGCCGCTGCGTTGGCGCCGCCGCCGTCAGGGCCCAGCAGCAGTGCCGTACCACTGCCAAGTCCACCGGCTCCGCCGGCTTCTTTCTTCAGCGCCGCCAGCTCAGCTTTCAGAGTGGCAACTTGCTTCTGAAGCGCCGCCGCCGCGGCGCCGCTGAGCGCCCCGCCGACGGCTCCGGAACCACGGATGTAGCTGTTGACGGAAACCTGCCGTACCGTATGACGCAGGAGGCCCGACAAGCCCAGTGAAAACCGGTGCCTCAGCGGTCGTTACTTTGATAAGATAATATAGAGAGAGAAGGGGGGGGAGGAGAGGGAGAGAGAGAGGGTGGAGAGGAAGGGGGAGAAAGAGGGGGGAAGAGAGAGGGGGGAGAGGACGGGGGGAGAGGAAGGGGGGGAGAGAGAGGCGCATTGAGCTTATACAACCAGCCCCCTGCCCTTTCCGACCCCTGTACCCCCAGACCTAACCCCGCCCCGCCAACCTGGTTGACGACGTCCATGGCCCGAGTGGCGAATGCCAGTGTGTTGAATGTCTCCTCCACGTGGTCCCTACAGACAGACAGACAGACAGACAAATAGATAGACAGACAGACAGACACACACACAGAAAGACGTATATATGTATATATATAGAGAGAGATGGGAAATAGATAGAGTCAGGCAGGCTGACAGAGAAACAGGCATACGGATGTAGCCAATGCTCCCTTCTAACACGTGCATCCATTCGTGCATAGTGAGAAATCGTACACAATACGCAAATAGGTTGCCAAGAGGAATCACTTCTCACCCCCGCTTCTCCCCTCCACCCCATGCCCCAACACCCCACCTTCCCTACCGGAGCTACACAACACCACCGTACATCCCCCACACTGTCGTACACCGTACTACAAGGTAGGAAGCAGTACTAGTACACCCCACTATTTCTACTGCCACCCCTATTACGTACACTGATGGGTTAATGGTGGCGATGATGGCGGTTTTGGAGTTACCCCCCAGGCAGGGCTGGAGCAGGCGCGTGAGCTTGGAGTTCCTGTACGGAATGAACTCCCCCGTACGGCCCTCCGCCAGCCTGGAAGGTAGGAGGCAGGTAGGGAGGGTGGCGGGGTGGAGGGGCCCAGGGAGGGGGAGACGGAATGAAAAACAGGCGGGGAAAGCGAAGAAATGTGGGAGCGGGGCTGGGGGAGTGGGTGGGGGTGGGGGTGGGTTGGCGCATGGAAGATGAAAGGAGTGGGGCCCCTCCCCCTCCTCCCCCTCCCCCTCCTCTCGCCTTTTCCCCCTTTGTATTATTCATGCTTCATTCGCCAGTGGTTCGTCTCTCCCACCTTACTTCACTTACTTGGATACCACCGTACCCAACATGAGCAGAGAGATGTTGATGTTGGTGCCCTCCACGAACCGCGTACCGCTGGAGCCAGTCTTGGCCAACCGCTCGCTACCCGCCAAATCCACAAACGAAACCAATGAAGTGTGCACGAGCTCACGGGTGGTGGCTGCGTCGTACGACATGGTGATGTACGGCATATTTGAGAGGCGAGGGTGTGCGTCGAGGATGAGGTCGGGGTAGTGGGAGGGAGGGGAGTTAAGGTAGGGGAAGGGGGGAAAGGGGAGACGGAAAACACAGCGCACACGCGCGTGCATACACACACATACACACACACAAGCAAGAGCGACATACAGAAACACGCGTGTCAGGTGTTTCCAGTGCCTTAGCCCGCTTAGGGGTCATGAAACCCCTTACCCAGGGGGGGGTCAATCTACGAGCACTTCTTGACACCCCTCTCCCGGCCGTAACCACGTCATCCCCTGCCCCATTTCCCTCCCACACACACACACACACACACCACCTGCGCTCTCCTCATTACTCCCCCCTCCCTCACTCCCCAAACACACACACACACACACACACACTCACGAACACGCACTCACCCTCCCGTGTCTCCAATGCCAGTCGTACAATCGTATGACTCCGGCTGCTGACCTCATTCATTGCCGTACTGCCAACCGATCGAGACATCGCACCGCGAGCCACGAGTGCCATGGCCGCCGGTACGTCCGCCACGGCGTGCTCGTCCAGTCCACTTACACGTACACCGACCCGCGGGTCGTCTTGTAACGCCAGCGGCGCGCCTGAGGGCCGGCCTAGGCGGTCGAAGGGACCGCCTCCGGGAGCCAGGAGGTCTCGGAGCTGCTCGTTGTACAGCTCCAACATTGAGATCTGGAAAGGGGAGACGGGGGAGGTGGAGGGGAAACGTGTGTTTTGTGTGTGTATTGTGTGTGTTTATGAACGTGTGAGACGTGTGCGTCGGGGGCGAGGGAGTAGGGGAGTGAAAAGGAGGCGAACCCGGGGTGCGAAGACACCCATAGCCCCACAACCAGACCCCACCCCTCCTCATGAATATAACGGGAACCATGTTCCCCCTACCTTCTTCCCCCTCCTCCCCGTTTGTGTGTTTGTGTGAGTACGGCGGGTTTTCACCTTGTGAGCCCCTCTATCTTCACACCGACCTTAACAGTGTACTCCTCCGCGCCTCCCTTGAGCTTACGGAGCGCCTGAGGGGGGAGATGGAGGGGGGTGGAGGGGGTTAAGGGAGGTGGAGGGGGGTGGAGGGGGGCGGAGGGAGGTGGAGGGGGGTGGAGGGAGATGGAGGGAGATGGAGGGGGGTGGAGGGGGGTGGAGGGGGGTGAAGGAAGGGGAACCGCATCATGTAACACATTGCACGAAACCCATTTCTGCAGACGACGGGAAGGGGTGAAGGGGGTTTCAACGTTACGGAATATGCAGCAAGAGGTTGATGGGAGGGGAAATAGGAAGGGGGGCATAGGGCCCTACGGAAGCCGAATATTGTTGGGAAAGGGACAGCAGTACATGGCGGAGGAATACTTCTGTAATGGCGGAGGAATAGTTCTGCATAGGGCCTGGACCAGGCTGTATACCGGATGGTGGTGGTTGGATAACGAAACCGGGCGGCGGCGGCAAGGATAGGGTGGTGAGATTGGCACCAACTCAATGTGAGTGCATTGGCAGATCGCGCAGCTGTAGAGCATCCGCTCGGTAGAACGGAGGTTGCTTGGCATCTGAGCTGGTGTGTATGTAGCTGGCTAGAGGATTCGAACAGGTGACGGCGCGTTGCCTTCATAAGGGAGAACGGTTAGGACTCTGACCGATATAACGCCCCTCCAATGACGGAGAGCTTCGTCATTCATTCCCGAATGGAGTACGGTTAGGTGCCCCTGACCAGCGTCAGGCCAGGATCGATATGTAACAAGTACACACACATGCACACACACATACACACACGCACACACACGCACCCTAGACACCACAATCGGGCCGCCGCCACCTCCATCGCCAGCCCCACCCCCCCCTAAGCTCCCCCCCCACCCCGCCACCTTGAGCGCCTTGAACAGGTAGCTGAGGGACATGGCGATGGCGCCATCCTCCAACCGCCCGTCGCTGCCAAACATCGTATACGTCTTGCCTGCGTGTGTGGTAGGGTGTGGTGTGTATATGTGTGTATGTATATGTGTGTAAGTGTGCATGTATGTATATGTGTGTATGCATGTATATGTGTGTAAGTGTGCATGTGTGGTATGTGTGTGAAGGTTACAAGTATCTGACCGGGCCTGACACGGGCCAGGGGCTGCTGCCCAGCCCCAACGGAAAGACCGCCCAAGCTCTCTCCCGCGGACGGGAGAGGGGCGTGAGTGGGGGCCCTGTGTGTTGTTGTGTTACACATCTCACTGGCCTCTAAGGCCGGGGGACGCTACAAGGCCCCCCCCCGGGGTGAGACCGCCGAAGCACTCCATATGCGCGTGTGTATGGGTGTGTGTACACGGATATGTGTGTACGGGTGATTTGCATGTCAGGGCAGTAACGTGCGCTACCGAGCACGGGTGGGGATGGCGGTCGGGGGCAGCGGGCCCCGCGTGAGGCTGCTCCCTTAACCCCCTTGCCAACACGGCCAGGTAGCGGTGAAGCCAATCAGTCAGTCAGTCAGTCAGTCAGTCTGTCTGTTTGTCTGTCAGTCAGTCAGTCAGTCAGTCAGTCAGTCTGTCTGTCAGTCAGTCTGTCAGTCAGTCTGTCAATCTGTCTGTCTGTCTGTCTGTCTGTCTGTCTGTCTGTCTGTCTGTCTGTCTGTCTGTCTGTCTGTCTGTCTGTCTGTCTGTCTGTCAGTCTGTCTGTCTGTCTGTCTGTATACATGTGTGCGCATGCGTCTCTCTGTCACAAACCAAGCCGGGTAGCTCGTCCAGGCCCACAGCCCCGCATCTCTCCCCCCCCACCTCCCTCCCCCCCCCCAAAACGGTCCTCACCACTGCCAGTCTGGCCGTACGCAAACACCGTGGTGTTGATTCCGCCAAGGGAGGCGTCCATCAGCGGTACGACATGACTAGCCCACAACTGCTTCGTACTGCTATCTGGGCTCAGTACCAGGTCGAAGCAATACACGCGGTCGGCGCTGATGTGGCGGTGGGTAGCGCTGGCGGCGTTCTCTTTCAGTCGTACAGTACGACTGTAGTAATCCAAGTACGGACCGTACGGGAAAGACAAAGGGCACGATACACCGTGTTCTTTAGGAATGCGAGAAGAATATAAAAGGGTATGGACTGAGAAATGGAAATGGGGGACATTTGCCACGGATTGGGAGAGGTCGAGTATCCTTTTTTTGTAAACAAATGTTTTATGTAATATGTATCAAAACACACCTGACGGGATCAATCAGCCAGGCGTCTGGTTCCCCAGGTTTCGGAACTGGACGAGCCCGTACAGCAACGCGAATGCGCTCCCGGGATGGCTCCCGAGCTGGATTCCGCGATGGCGGCGCCGAATCTGCCGCCGCGGCCGCTACCGCCGCTGCGGCGGCGGCGCTGGCAACGCCGGAGCTGCCGTACACGCGGCTTCGAAGGAGATCCAGACGCCCCGATGGCAGCCTGGCGACGGCATAAATGGAGCCCGCTGCCGATGCAGCGGCGGCGGTGGGGACGTCGGAGGCGGCGGCGGTTGTGAGTGCACTTCGCGCCGCTTCAATGGCAGAGATTTGTTTCATCAGCCGCCCCGTCTCCACCTCAGTGTACGACCGAGATCGACGCAGGTCGCCGCCGCCGCCGCTGCTGTCATTAAGCAGTACGGGCAGCGGAGGAAACTTGGCGTCGAACTCCGCCACCGCTGCGGCGGCGCGACGGGCCGCCTCGGCCGCCTGCGCGCGGAGCGCTGCCAGCGCCGCATCCTCATCGTCGTACTCATCACGGCCGTCGCCGTCGCCGCCGCCGGCAGCCGACCAACTAATCGATACCTCCCTCTTCCCATGCCGGCCCTCCTTGGCCTCCGCCGGCATCTCGTCATCATCGTCGCCGCCGTCGTCCGCTTGCGCCGCCGCCGCCTCGTCATCGTCCTCTGCGGCTGCCGCCGCCACGCCGGCTGCCGACCGCGATCTCGACGACCCACGGGTCGATTCCGCCCGCTGGCTGCCTAGGCTCATGGATCTGCCGCCGCCACCGGTGGAGTGCCGCCGCGGCGCGAAGCTACCCGGCGGCGGCGCAGCCGGCGGGCTTGGTAGAAGCGAGTTAGCAGTAGCGACGGCTGCGCCACCGTCGTACTCATCGTCTTCACCGCGGCGATCCGCCTCGTCGTCCTCCGCAGGAGGCGGCGGCGTCACCGTCCTCGACGGCAGCTTCTCCGGCGTCGCCGGCGCCGTCAGCGCGGCCGCAACTGCCGCCAGCTGCTGGCTTGCAGTGCCGAGCCGGCTGGCAACGGCGTCGTGCCGTGTCGTACCGGCCGTGCGGCGGCCGTCACGAGTAGGCTGGCGACTGCTGGCGTAGCTGTCAAAATCCTCGCAGTACGACTCAAAGTCATCACCGTACTCATCATCGTCATTCTTATGCCGGGCCCGCATGGATGGCGCCGCCGCCACCGCCGCCTCGGCCTTACGAGGGTGCGGCGCCAGCGTCACTTCCTCATCCGCATCCGCCGAGTCTTCCGCCGCCGCCGCCGCTGGGGCTGCCGGTGGCGGCGGCGGCAGCAGCTGTGCCGTAGCGCTAACGCCGCTGTCCATGCTGACTGCTTGACGCAACACCGAGAGGTTTGAGATGCCCACCGCCAACGTCGGCAACTCCCCATCATCCTCTTCCTCCTCCTCTTTCTCTTTCGCCGCCTCCGCCGCCTCCAGCGCCTCCTGCTCCTCCCGCTGCCGCTGCTGCTCCGCCTCCTCCCGCTCCCTCTCCGCCTCCTCCTCCTCCTCCCGCAATCGCTGCTGCCGCTGCCGCTCCCTCTCCGCCTCCTCCTCCTCCTCCTGCCGTTTTTTCGCTTGTCGTCTCGCTTCTGCCGCTTCTGCCTCCCGCCTCTTTGCTTGCCGCTCCTCCTCCTCCCGCTGCTGCTGCTGCAGCTTTAGGCGCTGATGCTCCTCCTCCTCCTCCCTTTCCCTCTCCTCCCTCTCTCTCTCCTCCCTCTCCTCCCTTTCCCTCTCCTCCCTCTCTCTCTCCTCCCTCTCTCTCTCCTCCCTTTCCCGCTCCTCCCTTTCCCTCTCCTCCCTTTCCCTCTCCACCCTCTCTCTCTC